GGTTTCATTATGAAAGGTTACGAAATAGATAAATCATGCTGTGAATTTCCTGAAGAAGAGCGTTTTTGTTAACGTGGTGGAAGATCCTCATGGTTGTCCTTCGCCCAGTAAAGAAGCCGAAGGGGCCTGTCGGACTCTTACCAACTAAAAATCACCACGGTGTTCCTCTCCTTGTCAATGGCCGGGAGAGTGAGAATCGCAATTGCATTCTGCCGCAACAGGATCAGTGACATGAGGATTTTCTTTACAAGGTTTCAAATTACCACACACACAAGGTTACACATTACCATTCTTGTAACCACGAAGTAGAATGAGGTCTGTAACCGCATTGTTTTTTCTTAAATGCAAGCAACTCCTTAATCATTAGGTACACTGTGAACTTTTCCTCTTCTTCTACCTTTTTTTTTTCCGTGCGGAAATCCCCTCTGATACCACCTATCCGTGGCATGTCGTACACGAACCGACTAAAACCGCACGCCGTCTCGGGTACTAATAGCCGGGGAACCAGGTATAACCCTAGAAAGGAAGTCCCTGGTGCCCCGAACCTCTTCTTCTACCTGAGTATGGCTGACCAATCGGTGCATTTTAACAGCCTAGTGTCCACTAATAACAAATTGCTTTGTTTATAGTTTCAAATTATAAATGAAGGGACATAGATGAGAAAAAAACAGTATATTTCTCATAAAAGTTAAAGATTATTAATATTTAAAAAAAAAAAATCGTACAAAATAGACAATAAGTCACAACACAACAAGTCAAGAACACCAATCAGAAAGACTGGACACGTCATTCAAGACGCCATGACACTATTCAGCGTTTTCAAGGAAAATTTAAATTGTTTTTTTTAGTACAAAATACGTAATGTAAATATTGCTTTTTCTTTAATATATAGGTTTTTTGGGATAAAATAGATATTAAAGTATATAATTAACCAAGTTTTCAAATTGAGTCAACTAGCCTATTACAATTTTAAATATAAAGAAGAGTGTATTATGTTCTTTGTTAGGTATCTCGTCTTACATAACATATACATAACAGTATTAATTTTAACGGTCAGATGGAAGCTCTACATAAACGCTACTATCAAAAGCTCGTCTGATGTGTCTGTTATATAGTATTTACGTAACGATGCCAACGTAACTCTTACGTCACACCTTACAGATGTTTAGAATCAACCAACAAACCATAAAAACTTCTCTAGATTAAAATGTTGGCAGATCCACTTACCAAAGTAATAGAAATAAGTGCCTAGAGCCAATTTATTACATTATGTAAGCTGTCGATTCGTATGAGTTTTATATTACCCAAAAAACATTAATTTTGGTCGTAAAACTTTGTATTAGCAAGTATTTGTATATTTTTTTCAACTTAAAAGGCACCTATCAGCTACATTATTTTTTTTTGCGGAATTCCCCTCGGATACCACCCACCAGTGGGTGATTATGTCGGACTCAAACCGACCAAAAACCGCACGCCGTCTCCAGGTACCAGTAGCCGGGGAACCAGGTATACTCTAGAAAGGAAATCCCTGGCACCCCGACCACTGGAAAATACAAGAAGATGATGATTAATATGTCTAATCTTTATATCTCTTAATATTACTTATATTTAACGTATATTTCACTTAAACCAAGACGACTGACTTACTTGAAAACTATTATTTATAATTTTATAATTTTATCTTACTTTTAGGTAACGCGCAAAAGATAGATAAATCGCTTTTTTTTATTTTTTGATAAAAATAAAGCCATAGGCTTATTGTGGTAACTCCCACATACAAAGAAAAATACACATACTACAGCACCTTCTAACGAAGACACACCGAACTACGGAGTAACTCCTGAATGAGAAGTGCTAATCCTGTATCGCGATATGAAGAATTCTCTCGTCGATTAGCATAATAAGACTTCCCAACATGCCTTGGCCCGCCAAGCATGATCACCTCGCCTAGTAGGACGATCCTTCCTTTGTGTTGAAAGGAACATGACACCCGTTCCTCCACATTCAATTTTACAATTACAACTTAGTAACAAATACTAGATTAAAACAATTTAATTTGTACACGATATCAATATACTGAAGCATTTGAATAAGTGCCAAACATCGACACTTGACTACCCAATTACTGTGACATCCGACGAATGTGTTAGACAGCTAATCGATTATGTTCATTCGATTTCACATGTTAATAGTACAAATCCTGATGATAGTACTACTAAATTTATTTAAAGTCGACGATAGTAGAATCGAGTAGGTCATTGAGTTATCGATTAATGTGCTTAATAGTCTTGAGATAGGGCTCGAGATTTCTAGCAATGATAATTCGAGTTATGGGCATACCATTTTCTTCCTTTCCTTTTAATCATGAGTGGAGGTAGATGTTTGCCCCATATTAAGTAAGTAAGACTAAAATTTTAGTGGGCAAAATGTGAACTATCAATGATTGACCTATTGGTCTAGTGGTTAGTGACCCTGACTGCTACCCCAGAGGTCGTGGGTTCGATTCACACCCGTCCTGGGTGTGAATCGAACCCACACGAATAATTGTGGGACGAGCACGGTCATTTGTCCTGTGTCTGAGTGTACTTTATCTATAATGTGTATGTATTTAGAAGTATTTAAATATGTTTATCAGCACTCTGGTTACCATGGTACAGGCTCTGCCTAGTTTGGGATCAGACGGATGTGTAAAATTTATGAATAATAAAAACAATTGTCTCGGTTTCAAAAACAATTTCGGTTCCCATTCGGGAACCATTCGGTTCGGTTGGAAGCTCTCCCTCATCCGCCATACTCACCAGACCTTGCACCTACCGACTATCACTTTTTCCAAAATTTGGACAACTTTTTAGTGGGTAAAAAATTCAATTCCCGAGAGGCAGTACAAAATGCCTTTGAAGAGTTTGTTGCCTCCCGTCCAGCTGATTTTTACAAGAAGGGCATCAATAAACTGCCAATGCGTTGGCAAAGATGCGTCGATTGCATGGGTGATTACTTCGAATAACAGAAATAAAAAAGTTTGAAAAAATAAGTACTTTCACTTATTGCATACAAAACGGCAATTTCATAGGTAAAGACCTAATACTACTAGAAAATTAAACCCAGAAACATTATGTGTAATATTATGCACTAATAAACGTAATCTCACGTCTTAGAGCTATTGAGGCCCAATAATGCACGAACGGTATTCACTTTTCCATATGATATTTTATATTTTTCGTATAAAAACGATTTTTATTGGTGGTGTGACCTATAAAAACGTTATTAATATCTTGTATTGGATGTCATCTGTCAAGGCTAACAGCGTAAGACACAAATAAACTTGTGTTGAAGTACTTTCTTTGAGAATCCAAGGACAAATAATTTGAGACAAAAAATTTACTATGTTGTACAAGACAATTAATCGATACCACCCTCATCAATAACAGGTTGTATAGGCTAGTCAACAAGTTCAAAAACGTGTTAATTCTTGATAAAGCTCCTAAACGCATGAGCAAGGGCTCATTCGATTCGGAAAGACGCCTTTTTTTATTTTTGTTGACGGGGTGGAAAATCCCTTCGGATCCCCTGCTCCTCGGGGACTCAGGAGCCAGGAGTATGTGGTGATTCCACTAAAAACCACCCCGACGGCCGGCCTTAGGCGTCCTACTCTGGGGAGGACCCGGACCATGTTATTTCAGATCCTTCCCGAATTGACACCATGCCTAATCAGGCCCTATCCCAGGGTAGAACACTTCCCCCTTCAATCGCGGCATGGTGGCCCGATCGCATCTTAATGCAATCAGGCCGGCCATTCCATTCCCTACCGCAGCAATCAATCTGCCACCAGAGGTCCCCACTCTCTGGCGGTGATTCGGAATGACGCCTAGGAAAATGTTTTGAAAGTATGTTTTAGCATATAAAAAATTAATAATAATAATAATCTTTATTGCATTTAAAATTACACTCACTGTTGAGGTACAATATCACAATAGTACAAAATCTATGACACTGACGGTACTAAATGCTGTCTACCAAACTAGGCGAGGCCTGTATTTTGGATGACAATATCCAGCCGCAGGAAAATTTACATGTAAGATTACGCTAAAGTGAAATATAGGGCACTTGCAATACAGATACATAACAATAAAAATAAAATAGGTATAATAAAAACTGTGTAGCGTAAGGACGTGAAGATGTGTGTGTGAGTGTGTGTGAGTGTGTAAGTGTGTGTGTGTGTGTGTGTGTGTGTGTGTGTGTGTGTGTGTGTGTGTGTGTGTTTGTGTGTGTTATCGTGTGTGCGAGTCGAGTGTGAAAAACGTGAAGATACCCAGTTTATCACAAGAGAGTAGAATGAAATAAATTATTTAATTGTTTGCAGTAAATTTTCTGTTTCTTGATAATTTAGCTTCTGAAGCCAGTTTGTAATTTTATTTTTAAGTTCGTGTCTTCTGAGACCTACAATATCTACTTCTCCGTTTATGTGGTTATAAAGTTTACATGTAATACTAACAGATTGACGACTGGCAAAGGCGGTTTTGAAATAGACCCTAGGACATACCGACATAAATCTTCGTCGCTTTGGGTTTGGAGGGGGTACATTTCTGTGCTTTCTCAGAATGGATTTTAGCACAAAGAGCTGTCGCACTGTTAGGACGTTGCAGTTTAAGTACAGTAAATGTGTTGGGTACCTGTAGGGTTTTTTGGTCATGACCTTTAGAACTGCTCTTTGTGCCCTCTCCAGACTGAGTAAATGGGTTTTAGCGGCTCCTCCCCAAACTGTGATACAGTAAAGAACCATGGATTCGCATAAAGCCTTGTAGACTAGTTTTATCTTGTCTATTGTATTTGTATATGTATTATATTATATTGTATGTGTAAATTGCAAAAAAGTTCCCACTCCCAGAACTCTATTATTTATAATTTTAATTTAACATAGGCGCACTACCGCTAAAGACAGAGTACCACATAACATATATATTTTTTAGTAACGAGTATTAATTTAAAAATTTGAATGAATTATGGTATCGTCATTGTTGGCGACGTATTTGTTCAATACAGTGTTTGAGTACTCAGAAAAAAATGTTATTTACTTGCTATTTTATTTACTTTCATATTAATTGCTCAGCAAAGTGGTCAAACAGATCAGTAGGCATGAGTTAAAATGAACAAACAAAATTAGTTTTTAATAGAAATGATTATTTTAATATGATTTTGCCATTTCCTTTTTTTTTAAACTTGATAATTCTCAGGTACCGTAGTCTTTAAATGCATAATATCATTTATTTTTCAATTTTGTAATTGATATTATATTTTTACTTTATGTATATATGTTTCAGGATTTAGCCAACAAACTCGGCGACGACAAGGGCATCACTGAACATTTGAAACTCCCAATTCAAAGAATCAACGACTACCAACTGCTCCTAAAGGTAAATATAACACTCGAGTTTACTTAACGTATTTAAAAATGTAATCCAGTGATCAAACAATATAAACATGACAATGAAGCAAATGATTAGGCGTGTGGCATTTATAATTAGGATTTAAGACGCAACAACGTATTTTTATTGGTTAATTAAAAATCCTATACCAACCCATCTGGCCAGCGTAATACAGTGGGCTAGAACCATGTGAGTGGAATACATAAGGCTGTTGATGATGATGAAAAAATAATGATTATTCGACCTCAATGTACTTTCATCACGATGAATTACAATAAAGTATATTCTTGATCCAATTTGAGTAGGACCAAACGAGATATATGTGTAAGGATAAACCATTCAAAAAAGTTTCCAAATCGATTAATAAAGACGGAGTTCTGAGGTAACAACCATAAAAACAACCGAATCGAAATCCTTCTCCTTTTTCTGAAGTCAGATAAAAATATGATATACTATTCTTTAATAAAAGAATATTATTCTTCAGAACAGAGATAGTATGAGTAACCACGCCTATTCATCCCGTGGGTGTCGTAAGAGGCGACAAAGGGAGCTAACGCAGGACAACCAGCACTGCAGAGAGAAGGAAAACTTGACACAAACCTTATACCAAACCGTCTGGCCAGCGTGGTATAGTAGGCCAAAACCTCCTTTCTAAGGAGAGGCCTATTTCGAGCAATGAACTATTAAGAGCTGTTGATGTGATGTGAAGTAACATTATTATTGTTAAACTCTTCTATTGAATAAAAACTATGTATTTCTCCAGGAACTAGTAAAATACTCAACTCGTCTCGGCGAAGATTGTTCTGACCTACAAAAAGCTTTGGAACTTTTCCTTGGTGTTCCAAATCGTGCTACTGACAACAAATTCATCGCTAGCATCGAAGGCTACCGTGGGAACATCTACAAGCTTGGTCGTCTGCTCACCCACGATTGGTTTACAGTCACTGATACTGAGGGGAAAGCTAGAGAAAGATATATATTCCTGTTTAAGGCTAGAATCCTCATCTGTAAAGTCAAGAGGGTCGCTGATGATCGCTCCGTGTTTGAATTGAAAGATATCATCAAGGTATATTGTAACACTGGATAGTTAATGAATTCTTGGCTTTGTTTTCTTTATACCTAACTTCTGTCATCAATCACTAGATTAACAATATTTACACAAATTTATTATTAACGTTAACGTTATTAACGTTGCTTATTCAAAATATCAGGATAATATATTAATATGTAGGCATGGCTTAAAATATTGGCTCTGTGCAATGTACTATACAATCAGTTTATGATATTGAGTGTGATAGTTATTCCAAGTGATTTTCTTAAACATTATTTGATCGTTTTATTGTAAAAAACTCAAATATAAAATTCCTAAAATAGTCAACCTACTCGCTGCTAAGTATATCTCCATTCATTAGCACAACGCGATCTTGAATCCAACTCCAAAAATAGATTTATATAAAAAATAGTTATTTGGATTCATTCCAAAATAGTTTTTGGAATGTATAATATTTTTAAACGTAACACAATTCCCGATATATTATTATTTATTCTGAATAAGAAAATAGTTGACAGTAGTTAGATGAAGGCCAACCAAAATTTGATGTAGTAGTACTAGAATATTTATTTTTGCTTCTTACTAAAAATCTTATTATAACCTTTACTAATTTAAGTGATAAAAAAAACTCTGTAAATTATTATCTATCACATTTTTATATCTTTGCTTATTTATTATATTCCATCTCTAATCTTGTATAAAGTGCTAATCAGTTGATACTAATCCGTTTCATATATTTCCAGTTACCGGACGTCGAAGTGAAAGACATCCCTGGTGACCAATTCAAGTTTGATCTCTGCCAGAAGAACTCCCCACTTAGTATAACTCTTACAGCTCACAAAGAGCAAGTCAAGACTAACTGGCTCGCTGAGATTAGACAACACGCCAGTGACGTTGGTAATTATTTCCACTTTTGTTAATTAAATAATAAATACTAAGCACTGACCGGCCTCTTCGAGCTTTTGCAGTTGCAGACGCTTGGGCCCATCTGAAACTTTTCACATACCTAATCCTAGCTTTCTCAATCTATTGCTTACCCTAATTTACGTTATTCTTTTGGCGCATCCGAAGAAAATAATTGAAATTGGGAAAAAACATTGAAATTATGATGACATTGAGTGATAATTATTTTATTGTTACGTGACATTTCAAACGGTTTCATATTTAAAAATAAAAGATTCAAGGCTCAACTATACTATTTCAGTTGCGTTAGCGGAACATGCAGCTGATGACCTTCAAGTGCTACCACCTGAATTTGTGCCAATAGAACCGGAGCCTGAGCAAAAGAAGAAGAGGGAGCATACAGAAGTTACTGAAGCAGAAGAAGCTCAAGAGAAACGTTCTCGCATTGAAGAAGTTCACACTGAAGAAGTTCTAACAGCAAAAGAGCCCCAACAACTTCAAACTAAACGAAAAGCATCATTGGACAGAGAGGGAGATATTAAAATATCAAAAACTGAAATTTCTTCAGATAGTGAAGTACAATCATTTGAAGTCAGTTTTAGTAGAGCACAAAGAAGTGAAGTTACTAGCGCTACAGAGACTAAATCTTCTGTAACTGTAGAAACCTCTAAAGTTACAGAGAATACTGCATCTGCTTCAATATCAGAACAAACTAGCCTAGTAACAGTTTTAGCTGCATCTGATGTAAAGGCTTCACAAAAACAAGATACACATAAAAGTTCTATTCAAAACTCAATTGTAGAACAGTCATCTCAAGAAATCACACAGAAAGATTTAAATAATACTCAAGTAACTGATACTGCAACATCGGCTCAATCGGTCACTATTAAACAATCTGTATCACTATCAGCAACTCTTGAACTAGAGTCTAACGAACAACACTCTAACGAGACCGTTCAAGAACAGATAACTGAACAGCAAATTTCAAACAAAGAGAGTACACCAAAAGTTGAAGAGTTACAAGCAACTGTTTCATCAATACAATCCAATGTTGAAGAAATAACTTCCCGAGAAAGTATTCAACAATCCGTTTCAGAAAAGACAGAAGAAGTTAGTTCAACTGGCGTTGAATCGAAACAACAAGCTGTTACTAATAGTGAAACTGTAAACACTGCGGAAGTTGCTGACGAAGAGATGTCTAGGTACAGCAGCCGCAGTTCGCGGCTGTCTGGAGGTAAGAACCTTAATGTTATACAAAGTCGTATATCTTAATATTTAAACGTGATATTTTCTTTTACCAGCTTTAATTACTTAAATAACAAAACAAGTATGTATTATGTAACATTCCTTCTCTTATTGTAGAATACTCTAGTAGCAATCGAAAATTATCGAGTGGAGGTCGCTACGAGTCCTCATCCACTTATGAGGGTAGTGGACTTACATCATCTTATTCACGTCGTGAGAGTGGATCGCGCTTAGAATCTTCTAAATACGAGTCAGTATCAGCTCTCGAAGGATCTGGTTCCTCTCGCTACGAATCTAAGTATTCATCATCATCCAAAATTGACGGAGGATTAACACACGGAATCGAATCAAGCTACGAGAATAAAACTGAAAGCTCAAAGTATGGCGATGAATATAATTCTGCTGCTAGTAAACTTGACAGCATCGCTTCCAAGTACGGACTTGAGTCCAAGTATACTACCGAAACTGATACTACCAGTAAAATTGATAGCATCGCCTCTAAATATGGTATAGAATCTAACCATGAAAGTAAAACTGAAAAAGTTAATTACGGTATCGAGTCTGACACCGCTAGTAAGATTGACAGCATAGCTGCAAAATACGCTTCAAGAAAATATAGTGTGGAAACAAGCATTGATAGTGAGAAAGTAGACGGAATTTCTTCTAAAACTGAGAGTAGTTATGAAACTGTTAAGAATGGCGATTCTTACAAGAGCAAGTATTCTAAAACTGCAATCTCTAATGGGTCAATAAATACCAAATCTGAGCTATACGATGGCAAGCCCTTGTTCACGACCACCTTAGAAGGCCAAAATATTGAGCGTAAGTATGTCCATCATAGTTTTATGGAACTCATTACACTTATAGAAGTAGAAACACTATTAGTGCTTGTACATATGCTTTTAGTCAACTAACTGACACGACACATTGAGATAACAGTGCTTTTTAAATAAACATTCTTTCTTCTGAGAGTTCGTACGGAGTACTGAAGCTGTGAAATATAAATATGATTAATATCAGTCACACTGATAAAGACTAAACTTTAAACACAATGTAATCAAAAAAATAGGAACACGCTATCTTAAACCCGTACGAGCTCCGCCTCTTACAAATATTTGAATCCCCAGCTGGTGAAAATGCTATCTTCAAATGTGCTCTACGTGAGAGTGCTGACGTGAAGGTAACATGGCTGAAAGACAACAGGCCTTTCCCCAATGTTTTGATGGACCGTTGCGTTATCACCTCTGAAAATGATGGAAGCCACATGATGGAATTAAAACATTGTAGAGAAGATGACACAGGTGTATACACGGCTATAGCTGAAAACTTAAATGGAAATACTCATTGTACTGCTCAGTTAGTCGTTCATGAGTGTAAGTGTCATTTTTATATTCTATTTTATAGATTTGAGGAAAGAAGTTGAGAGATTACTTGCATTTACTAAACAGCTTAAATTACATCATTTTATATGTTACGATTAAAAATAATTAGTATGTGTTTGACAGTACAACCTATTTCCTCAAATTGATCTATTTTATAATTAAAACTTTTAGAAATGAGCGTGCATGGGTCATCGCGATCATGAATTAAGACATTTTAATGCGTATAACAAGTAGTTAGATCTTATGAACTCTTTTTCTAATTTTCCTGTAATCTCTTGCACTCAAACAAGTATTCCTACACGTTTACTTACAAGTAATAATTTATGATAAGCAAAACTTACATTTGAGGCAAGTACTCTATGTGAATTTATTAATGGAGCCTTTCCAAAGCTAGATGATGGATGAAGCTGTGAAAATTATCAACAAGGTTCCTAAGAAATCGAGACTGTAGAAGAACTCGGTTGCAAACCTTACCGGATCATGAAAAACCAAATCAATGTAAACTGCCTCAAATGTTAGTATCAATTTCCTTGATAAATAATAGATTTTCTTTATGTAACATTATAGTAACAGCCGAAGAGAGAAAAGAAAGAAATGCTCTCAAGGCACCATACTTCCTAGTCGCGTTAAAGGATACTGCGATTATGGAGAACACATATCTGCGCTTCATGGTCAAAGTCAAAGGCGACCCTAATCCTGAAGTGAAATTGTAAGTACTTCTTATCAATATAAAATTTAACATATTACATGAACCCTGTTAAAAACTTTTATAGAACTTTAAGAATTTCTTATAAGAACTTTTATATTGTTTTTGAATATGTAACTTTGAATGTTAAAATTCTAGCGTGCCATGAAAATTTGGGAACTTCACTTTTGATGCAGCAACTTTATCCCATCGGCCATCGATAAATATAATTCTTTTCGTTCTTGTTTGATTACAAAATCATCTTCACTAGTTATCTTACCTGTTAATTGTTCTTACTTTAGCTACCGTGATGATAAAGAAATCTTCACATCGTCGGAATCAGATCGCGTGAACATAGTCCGCACTCGCGCCGATCGTGGATGTTATGAACTGGTCATCTCCGATGTTCAACTCTCTGACGCTGGGAAGTATTCCTGCAGAGCGATGAACATCTACGGAGATGTAACTTCAGAGGCCACTGTTACTGTAGTTGGTAAGTTTCTTGTATTACTCTACACCCTTCTCCTAATCCAGAATCAGGGGTTATGAAATTAAATTCGTTATAACTTGACAATTTTGGTTTGCAATTTAAGACTGATTTATATTTCATTATTTCTGTACAGATATTGATACTAAATATATTTAAAAAAATAAGAATCTCGATTCACATTCAAATTCAATATATTCCCAAGAGATCAAAAAAGCATTTTTACACGAAGTAATCAAAAAATGTATATTAAGTTCTCTCAGATTTAAGATTTCACTGACTTTACGTCAATCCTACGTCAATTATGTAAAGTTTTGCTGAACTACGTAAAGACTTGGATATTTGCCATCCATGCAAATAAATCTTAAGATCAGCTAAAAAATAAACACATTTGACCTTATTAAGAGTTAAATTGATCATATTAATATACGAAATTGTTTAATCTGAGTAGAAAACGATAACTGCGTGCTATATGACATACATTTTTTTAAATTGGCCCAAGTTCAATTTCTGTTTTAAGTATTACAAAGAATATAAATATCTAACATAGTTTACTACAATTAGAATGATCTTGTAATAGTTGTTATGGCGTACCGTCCAATAATTAACTTTTGATTTTACAGATGACAAGAATATTTTTGGTGAACTTCTCCCTGGTGGCGAAGGTCTATTGGAAAAAGGAGAGAAAGCGAACTTCACTTGGAAGCGAGATGGGCAACCCTTCGATCCTGAAGAAAGATTTAAAGTAAGGCTTGACAATACTGAAGCGGCTATACCAATTCTTTTTCAGGGCAAAGATGTAGTACAGTCGTATTTTTTGCTAAGTATGTTTTCTACATGTAAGTACACACATTAAGGTTAATGAAAGTTACTGTCAAAAAAACAGAATATAATAATAAATAAACCTAAATAAACTTAAAAATTGTCCAATACTTTTAAATGTTAGATATCACAATGCCTAGTCGTTGTGTCTGTTCTAGTGGATTATCCAATCACAAGACGGAGATATGCGTATGCGCACCCTGGCTTCTTTGGATTTCTGTAGTTTCAGTTCCGTTTATCCATGTGAGACATTCGCAAGACGGGTTGGCGTCAAAATAATATTATGTGTGAAAAATATTTAACTCATTTCTTAACCATGATGGTAGTCAAAATAAATAAAAATAATAGTTTTTATACTGCAGTTGTTGATTAAGTATTCCTCTTGCTATAGGTACTGTTGGGCGACGACGAAGATTCCCTGGCCTTGGTATTCCAGCACGTGAAGCCAGAAGACGCAGGCATCTATACTTGCGTCGCCAAAACCAGTACCGGCAACATCTCCTGTTCTGCCGAACTTACTGTGCAAGGTAGCCTAATGATGAATTTTTCTTCTTCGTTCTACTACTGTACCCCAAACTTTAGCACCTTTTAGGCGTTACGGTTGCAAGTTCACCAGCTCCCACAAGCAACGACAATATCAGCTTTTTTTATAATTCAAAATGTAGATTAGATCACGACCAGAAAAATATATGAGAGAAGGAGAATGAATGCAGAAGAGAAAATGAAGTTGAATGAGACTACTTCTAATTCCATAATTTTTGTGATTTTTTACTAACTTTTGGAATCTTACTTAGTCGAACTAAATAAAAATAAAAAGTTTTAAGTTTTCGAAAACTCCTGCATTTTGTGTTTGACCAAGATAATTGTCATAGATGCTTGTGACACGACCACCACCGAGTTTACGGCTAAGAGAATAAAACTGGGTAATATTTTTCTCGCGTACGATATATGTACATATGACTGCATGTATGTTGCGTCTTTGTGCTGGCTAGCACTACCTTAAAGAAGGTAGCAGTTATATACAGGTAATATAACGTGAATAGCTTGGCTTATTTAATGCTGAATTTAAAGAAAAACCAATTGCCAAAAATTCGGACAGTAATATTCAAATATTAGAACATGAACCATACTTGCATGAAATGGTCAGGCTATAATATAAATATATGTTGGGAATCTTGGAGATAAGGATTCAGAAAATGATATTATAATGTCGTTGTATAAATGTCTTATATTACGCATATTATCATATAAGGTTAAAACTTAAGTGGCTTCTCATGACGACCTATGGTCGCGCTGCTGTATAACATTCGACCTCAACTTTAAAGGTCGCGGATTTAATTCTCGCTAAGGGCAAGTATTTGTGTGCATGAATATGTCTGTTTGCATTGGTCCAGCTGTTTCATGTACAATATATATGTATTAGCGAAGTGTTCAAGTATGTTTATCCGTGGTCTGGGAGCTGTAATAGAAGCTATGCTTAGCTTGGGTCTATTGAAGTATGGTGTATAATATATCTTAGAATATTCAATATTATGTGTAAAATTGCGTAAAATGTTTCCTGTATCAAATTATTGAAATACAAAAATAAAATAAACCAAAATCATAGCAAATCAATGATTGAAGTAATTGCAAATGTCAAATAAAGTACATAATTTTACAATGGTATTTTGTCCACATAAGTTTAATTAAAATTAAAAGATATATATATTTCTATATATTTAGGTGCTGTTCATGAACTCCACCGAGAGCCTGAGAAGCCTACGCTTGTCATTGAGCACCGAGAGGCTATCGTGTCAGCTGGAGCTTCAGCTATGTTAGAACTGCAATGCAAAGGTTTCCCCAAACCATCCATTTTGTTCAAACACGATGGTAAAATTATCGAGGCAGACACCAGACACAAGTGAGTATACTTAATATAGATCAGGACAATTCTAAACGAAGCTCAGCGACAACGCCCAAGTTGCCAAAATAGACAAGAACTATTGCTGGTGAGTTCTTGCTTGAATACATCAAACATCCAGAAGCTGCCGTTGTCGGCTTACTAGACCTGATATTAACAGCACCGAAAGATTTTTTTAATAATGGAGTTAGTTTCTGCCATCATTTCTTTCCCACGTGTTTAGGCTTTATTTATATACTTCTACCCAAACTGGTTCGTATTATGAGATCTGATCTGTCGTTTTAAACAGTTAGTTATGAATTACTTACTACAACAATAACTGCAAATAGCTGCATTGATCTCCTACTTTTCTCATTATCACATTATTTTAGGTTCCTCTACGAGGACGATGAAAGCATGTCCTTAGTAATCAAGAACGCCACCCAAGCTGATGCTGGCGACTACTACATCACAGCTACAAATGAATTGGGAGAAGATTCTACTACAATGCACCTTGTGATCAAAGCCGCTCCCAAAATCAAAAAGAAGATCGAAAACCAGACCTGCATGGTAATTAACTAAAAAAGTATTTTGCTTGAAAGTAACAGTTTTACAATTCTGACTAAAATATATTTAAAAATTCTCTATTTTGTAATATTTACTTTTAAATCTACATAGAACACATGTAGACTTTTGGCTACAGTTTCGTATTTCTGAATAAGTTTTGGAGGGAAAGACATTTCTGTAACTGTCAATAGGCTGTCGCATTTCAATATTAACTTGGTTACCTATATACTTAGACGAGCTCCACCCACACCGTGACCGTCGAAGTGGAAGGCACGCCGACCCCTGAAGTATCATTCTACAAAGATGGAGTAGAAATCAAGAGTAGCGAACGCATTCAAATCGTGAAGGAATCAGAACAGATCTACAAGATCACCATTAAGGATGCTAAGCTCACTGATTCTGGATCATATTCAGTCGTTGCCAAGTAAGATTTTCTTATATTATACGTTTAAAACAAAAAGAAACTTTTAAATACACATTTTATTACATCTAACAAGGCTTAACACAGAAAAATTAGAAATTTTTGCTTTGATACTGATTGTCAAGATTTTTATTTTTACTGGCTTACAAGTTTTTGTATTATAAATAAAAGACTATCTTTTTTTCTTAAAATCGACGAATCAGTTTACCAATCAAATTTATACGGAATACCAATCAAATTTGGCCTTCTAGTGAAGCAAGTCCTTTCAGGATACCCTACTGACGGTGTCTTCTGACAGAATCTCCTTGAATATATTATAAAATGATCTATTTATCAAGAGATTTCTCAATTGTCATAGCCCTCAATGCATATATTATTTTGTATATCATACTTTTTATTCTAGGAACGAAGTAAATCAGTGCTCAGACTTCTGGCAGTGGCACGTCACATCACCACCGAGGGTAATTAAGAAGATGGGTGAAACTAAAGTCTGTGAGGAGAAGGAAACCGTCACTTTCAAGATTGAGACGGAGTCTGAACCAGCGCCATCTGTTAAATGGTAAGCAATTTTGAACTACTATATATAGGAACATAACAGTAGATTCTGTTTGACTAGCAGACCGAGTAACCGAGTATACCTGCTGGTGGTTTTTGTTGCCCGTGATTTTTATAACTAGAATTCCATGTCATAGCAAAGTATAAGTGAGTGTACATTATTTCATCGACTCAATTTAGTTAAATCCCAACTAAAACGAGTTACTACTAGTTAAAATTCATATCTAGTCAAAAAGTTTAGCTGATGTACATCGTAGACTGTAGCGTAAATGTACCTAAATACTTTTATGATTTTGCTTATCTATAATATTTGTTAGTGTACAAAATGTGTCATGTTTATTCAAACTCTTGCTACATACGAGTACATACTTACTTTACTTACACGTGAAAAAATCTCTTTCCGTTTTGCTTGAATTTCCCTTATAAAATATTTCTTTTAACCAGGTTCAAGAATAAAAGTGAGATAACCGAATCATCGTCTATTAAAATCTCTTCATCCGGTCAAGCTCATTCTCTGGTGGTGACCTCCGCAGCTCGAGCTGACGCTGGCGAATACTCGTGTGAGGTGAGGATTTATAAATTGACTTCTTATGTATTTCTTACGGAGGAGGTTTTAGAACGTTGGAAGAAGAAGCAGTCGTTTTCGTGCAAGATCATGCAAAATAAATGAGAGAATTCGAATTAAAAGGGATATTTTTAAATTTATAGGGTATTTAAAAAATGTTATAGGCAATGATGGAACGCACTTGCATGCATTATGGACTTTGGAAATTATAGACTTTGCCCATTACCCTGGTATTCAAAATTTATCAGGATCTCTTCTATTCGGCTTCTTTGATATTTTATTTTTATAAGGGGCACACAAAGAGATAGATTACCTGATGATTAGGGACTCTCATGAACACCTGCGAGCTAAGATTCACAAGTTCGTGTCCTTATGACAGCGTCAGAATGTTTGGGCCGCCGGTAATCTCACCCACTGGATGAAATTTAATGATAGAATTGATCTATGACTATCGGTTTTCTTTGAGGTTGAAGTATCACTCTGAGCGAACTGGTGAACACGTGTGGATTACTCGCAGTAACATCATCATACAACAGGCAAAGTAAGAATATTCCAAATTCCTCGCAGTTATTTAACAAATATAAATATTTATATCCCATAGATCCGAAATGTCCACGGCAGCGCCTCCGACTCGTGCTTACTCAATGTCCGCACCGGACCCCAGTTCACTCAGAAGCTCAAGGATACCACCGCTAGTGAAGGAGACGTCAATGTGGAATTCACGGTCTCTGTGGAAGCGTTCCCTGAACCTACCGTCAAATGGTAAGGAAGGCATTCTATACCGACCCTCCGCCGAGAAAAAAAATATGAGACCTCTCTAGTTCTATTTATTTCTCAAATAATTTAAAACAAGTGTTGTGGGTCGGATCCCCACGTAGGACGACACTTTGTGTAATCCACAAATTGTTGTTCTTAATCTGGGTGTCCTTTATGTCCGTTTCATATATGTTTGTAAAGTCACACAGGATTTATTCCTAGTGCGGGAGTTGTCTTGAAAAAAAAGAAATGTCTTACAATACAAGCAATGTAAGCAAAGATTGTTTTTTTTTTAAATCTAAGAATTATGTTCATTTATATTCCCTGGAGATGACAAACGTACAATTAGAAATATAATTTTCACTTTTTCATTTATTATCATTTTAGGTACCTCGGTGACGTAGAAATTACTGAGAAGAAATCAGTATTCACTCGAATAGACAGTGGCAACACTCATAAGTTAATTCTCAAAGAAGTATCCTCTGAGTTGTCTGGCAATTACTCCTGCAAAGTCTCTAACGAGCTCGGTGCTGACTCCTGTTCTGCTACATTTACAGTCAACAGTAAGAGACTATTTAATTCTATCAATTTTTACATTATTTCATAAAATAGGCTCAGTATCATAAAATGGATTAAGGAAATTTAATAAATAATACTAAAAATTGTCCTAAATGTAAATCATAAAAAGTTAGATGATTCATTTCTTTGCGAATAAATTTAAACTTTAGCTATTTGATTCAAATATTTTCAAGAAGAATGCACCTCATAAATATAATATCAAAATGAGGAATTAAGACAAAGAATACATTTATAATGTTACGAGAAACAATGTTTCCTAATGGACAATTTAAAGCTAGGACAAAGTCAGTTAAAAGTTTGCAAAAAAATTCACTTTTACACTTTTAAGGAAAACCACGCATCACCAAGAGCCTGATCGACATGACAGTAGAGGCAGGACAGACCTTGACATTGGACGTCGAAGTTGAAGGCTCTCCAGAACCAAAAGTCAAGTGGTACAAAGATGGCAAAGAAGTCAACACAGATGCCAGGATTAAGATTGAAAGAGATACGAAAAGGTAGTACGAGATATACATGGATATAAAAATATTTGACAAAGAACAAGGAATTCCTCAAACCAATATCCGCGATAAGTAAAGTATCCTCTACATTATACACTTTCTTCTTTTAGGCTGGAGAACTACCATCTCACCGTTACTTTGGTAAAAGAAGAAGATGGAGGAGAATATGAAGTAAGAGCTGAAAATGAAATGGGTAGTGTCTCGTCAAAGAGCACGGTCACCGTACATAGTAAGTATTATCATTAAAAAACGCGGTGAAAAATGTTATTTGGCAATAGTAGAACATTTTTGGCCTAAGAATTTATAAATTCAATACAGTTCCTAAATTTTATGCAACAAAATTATTTGCAAACCTGTACGTTGAACCAAAAGTGTCTTTAGTATTTCACGATCTCACTTGAGTCGAATTACAGCTGACACTACACACCTATCACATATTTATAAATCAGGCACAAATTATTACTACACACTGGCTCATGGTAAGATACCTGAAAACGAATCTGTCAAGAACCGACAGAATCGGCACTCCGATGGATAATATAATGGTAAAGTAGTTATAGTTAACTAAGCAGTGAAATATAATTCTAGATACCACTTTACGCACGTTAGTTTGTTTTGGTGTCATAGATACCACCATAAGTATATGGTATTTAATCCATGGAAGCATTCAATAGACTAGAATGCTGATGTAGTTCACTCACGCCCATTATATTCACTTTATCCTGCACAACTTTTGATTACCTTTCCTACCTACCATTTGTGATGTCTTTACTAGTAGTGGGTATTTCCCATTTTAATATTCCATGTATTACTATCACATTTTTAATTGTGTTCAATAGCACGAGAGGTTCATTCGAGGTTCACTAAAGAAGATGTGGTTGAAAATGAGATCGATGGTGATAGTATACAGGCGAAAAAGGTGTTGGAAGATGATTTGAGTAAAGTAGAAAAACAGAAAGCAAAGAAAGATAAGACTAAAGCAGAAATCGTAGAAGAAAAATCAATATGGGATGACGAAGATGACGATAAAGTTAGAAAAGTGGCTGTAAATGAAGTCGACGAACCATCAAAGAGAACAGCCAAAAAATCTTTTACGGAGCCCGAGGAAGTCGAAGAAAAATCTTTCTGGGATGATGTAGATGACAATAAAAGCAAACAGCCTATCATTGACGAACCAGATACTCCAATTCCTAATAAAGCTGCAAAGTCTGCTACTCCAGCAGAAGTGGCTGAAGAAAAATCTTTCTGGGATGATATCGATGATGATAAGCCTAGAAAACCTGTGATAGAAGAAATAGAATCATCCCCGATTGATGCTGGAAAGAAATCTTTCTCTGAACCAGAAACTGCTGAAGAAAAGTCCGTTTGGGATGAAAATCATAATGAGCAAAGTAAGAAGCTTCTGGTTGAAGAAGTTGTGAATAAGAAAGAAGTGGGAGAAAGCGGAGCTACTAAGCCAGAGCTTATTGAAGAAGTGCCTTTACCGGAAGACCTAAAGTCACCCAAGCGTAAATCGGTTAAAAAACAAGCAACTGCAGAACCGTTAAGTGCTGAGTCTGAAGGTATACATAATACACGCTTCGACGCTTACTTTCTTCAAAATAGCAAACAGCTTTTAGTATGCGAGAAATTCATGTTTTCGCTCAAAATAAATGCATGTTTTAACACTGTGTTTTTAACAACCCTAGTGTGATTTGTATGTTTAGGCCGAGTTTTCGAAACAGTTACCACATTCAAGACAGGCGGTGATGGATCTATTATAGTCTCTAAAGTCAGCAGCACTAAGTCTCACGGTGCTATCGTTACAGGTCAGTATAACGCTTCCTTCCTTCTTTACTCACATATTAATACACATATCCATCGTTTAATATTCCATAATAAAGTTCAAAAAGTTACATAAATTAATCACGATACATAAGTTACATGTCGCTTAATATCACCAAAATATGTAGTTAAGTAAATTTTAGAAAATCAACATAATGTACTATTTTAACTGATAGGTCCGGCCGAAACGCGCACTTTGCACAAAATGACGTCAAAATCAATTTATTATGATGATGACGATGATCTTAATGGAAGAAGAATTTTACATCCAAATAATCCTCACACTACATCTTTAGAAGTTGAAGAAATAGCTAGTCATAGTTACTTTTTAACTGATACGGGTCACTATACAATACCTGATCATATACGAAGAGGTGTATATGGAATCATTGAAGAGCCGCAAACTGATTCAGAAGCTGATAGAGCATCACGATGTGGCAGACAGGGTTCAAACCGTACCTTATCAATTATGTCTGTCTCAGAAGATGAAATGAGTTGGCAAAATGAATCTTTATCTAGGGAGATATCTATTGAAGATCTTTCTAAATCTATATTTGATATCGATGAAAATAGAAAAGTTTTCAGTAAAGATTCATACGTACGCCAGTCCTCTTATAAAGAAGATTACTTCTTAGATGAAGACAAAGAAGAGTCAGTAATTGTTAAAGAAAAGTCACAAAAAGTATACGAGAACGATATCACAGACAAACTTAAACACATATCGAAGGAATTCGATAACGATATGATAGCACTTGACAAAAAAATAGAAGACGTAAAAAATAGAATTTTCGAAGAGTTAGTATTAAGCCCTATAAAACATGTTGGTAATATGACGAAAGACATAACAGAAATGTCTGTAGAAAGGAAGAAAATAAGCGAAACTAAACTAAAGAGTTTGGAGGAGGAGGAGGAAGTGGATGACGACCTGGAAGCTCTATTAAAACGAAGCCAGAGACAAAGAAGTATTCTAGATGATATTCTAAATGAGGAGGTTGAAAAAGGTAATTGTTAAATCAAAATATTATAAACACTGAAGAGGATGGACGAGACTGGCATTGATAATGTAACGCTACGCAATGTATGACCAGAAAAAATAACAATGAAATGAGTGCTTTAAACTGAAAACGAAAATTGCTTACGTTGAAAATATAAAATCTGTCATTTTCTAGAACTTAACTAAACTTTGAACTGATCATGATGTCTCTCTTAAATTCTTTTTCTTGTATTAATTTTTCAAGAAAATGGCAGGTAATGTTCATGTAGTTGTTCCTCAAATGTTTCTCCATAATTAACTAATGCTGTCGTATGTTTGTTTTAGCACGCATGCGTAATAACATTCCCTTCTGGCATACTAATATTTGGAACTCGGTGCGGCAGAGGTACTAGATTGTTCAAAAAAATCATCATATCATCAAGGTAAGCGAAATATGTTATAAAAGTAGTGCAGCACTTGCATGTTACTCGCGCTTTGATTCAAATAAGGCCTAAATAAATAAGAGTATCTTCGTTAAAAAGGTACGTATTAAAACACGCAAGCACAACACCACGCCAGTACAATGCATCTTATTAATTTAATTGGAATTTGTAAGTATCAATGTTGATGTTCTAGTAATATAGGAATAAAATATTTTCCAAAAAATAGTAGCAACTGCTGTATATACTGCAAACACATACTATTTCTATAAATGTAAATATTATATTTTCTTACTTTAAAAGCTTACAGTCTTAGCATAGAAAGAGATGTTTGGTTTTCTTTTATGATGTTGTTATACATTGTATGTTTCATCGATTGGAAATCTGTTTGTTATAGTATGATTCAGCTTGCAATGTATTTAAAATTGGCAAATTAATCAATTTATGTTGGCATTATGAAAGCTAGTTTTTATTTGGAAGTAAACTCTCTGTATGTTCTGTTTGACTATGTTGATTAATTATTATATTTGGAAAGAAAGAATTCAGCAAAATATTATATCACCATCTGTCTACTTAGTATCAAATTATGATTCCTTGTATAATTTCTAAATAAATTGTAAAAGTTACGTTTAAAAGTACTGTTTCATATTCTTTCCTTCCGTCACTTCTAACTAAGCCTTCCTGTTCATGGTTTAAATACGTCTGTTTATTAAAATCTACAGCACCACCCAAACTCGACCAAAGCAATATGAAAGACGGCCATGTCTTCGAATCCCTCCCCTTAGTCTACACGGTCCAAGTTGCTGGTACTCCGAAACCTACGGTCCGTTGGTTACACAACGGCAAGGAGGTCAAACCTAGTGGCAGAGTCCAAATCACCAATGATGGAGATCTGTACAAATTGGAAATTGATAGCGTTCAAATGAAGGATGCAGGTCCTTGGCAATGCGAAATTAGTAATAACCTCGGCAAGCAAGTGCTTAAAGCAGAACTGTCGGTATCACGTAAGTACTAATTATCCCGATATTTTTCTTTACAAATTCGCAATTTTGAAAAGTTACTGTTACACATATTTTTGTCATTTGTAATTAAATTTTACACTCAAACAGTCTTAATCTTGATATTTTTTTTTATTTATAGCTGAAGCCGAGCTCCGCAAACCAAAGTTTACTACCCCACTTGAAGCTCAAAGCGTGATGCAACGAGAACCTGTTACAATGCAAGCAGTATGCACGGCTGACCCTCAGCCACATGTGTCTTGGCTCCTCAACGGAGTTGAACTTACACCTGATGCAACCGTCGTCACCTCTGCCGATTCTAAAGAAATCGAGAACGGCTTGAAGGAGTGCACTTTTACCTTACACATACCTACTGGTAAGTAGATAGATAATAGTGAATATGAGAAACTGATAGCTAAGAGTGTACAATATTTGATAAGGAATTATTATTCTCAATATTCTTTCCTTGTTTGTATGGTAAACTACCAACCATGAAATTTTGAGATACACATAAACAACCCTACCATCTAAGTCTGTAAATAGAGTAAATCATCAACCTTTAATAGTACACTGATGGATATAGGCCTCTCTTTAGAAAAGAGGATTTGGCCTACTATACCACGCTGGCCAGACGGGTTTGAATAAATAGAAACAATAAAAGAAATAGAGCAGAGAATAACAATTTAAATTTCAATATACATTTCACTAAACATTTTCCCTTCATGTATGGGATTACATCGATTACATAATCGGTACTTTTAGGCCGTCATACTGACACTGGCGACTACACCATCCAAGCCAAGAACAAATATGGTCTCGGCGAATCTTCAGCCCGTCTGGATATTCTCATGAGACCGGAAATCGAAGGATTGAAGGACGTCACCGCGGTACCATATGAGGAGACAACCTTTATTGCAAACATCAGAGCCAATCCCATCGCTGAAGTTAAATGGTAAGATATATAAAGTTATTTAAAATTATAATAATTCTATTTATATTTTTAGGTTACGTAATAAAAAGTTTAAAAAAATAATAAGAAAAACACGTTTACAAAGAAAGTTAATAATCTAGAAACCTGAATCTCGAACAAAGGTTATAAAAATAGAATATTCTGAATCTCTACTTTTGATACTCTACTTTAGTTTTGATCAAAAATTTAAAAATAGTTTCCTACCTCCTGAAAAGGTATATAGGTACCTATAAACTCCATGATTAGGTTTAAGCCTTCATTTTAGCAAATCTTTTCAGATTCCTTAGGTTTTATAAATAATTTGCAAACCTAAATAGATTTTTTTTAACTGTTTAGGCATTAGTTACCGTAATAAGGATGCCACTTAAATAATAATATTAACCTCAGACATCTCGCGGCCGTCTGATCCCAAACTAGGCGGAGCCTGTACTAGACTACTGATAAACATATATAATATATATTTCAAAACACATGCATATAATAGATAAATTACACCTTTTTTATTTTATTTTATTTTTCTGTGCGGATATCATTTCGGATATCACCGCACGCCGTCTCGGGTACCAGTAGCCGGGGAAGCAGGTCTACCCTAGAAAGGAAATCCCTGGTACCCCGACGTACCTCTGGCCATCCATCGGCCTGTTTCTGCTAGGGTGACAGATGGCCTCATCTGTCACCCCCAGGCCTGCGCTTATGGAGGACCAAGGTCGTTCTGCGACCTCCGGAGCCCAAGTCGTCTGCGGTACCTGGTCAATTCCGTCCGCACTCTCGCTCCGTACCATGGCGGCAATCATACTACCGAGCGAGAGGACTTCCACCCCGATGGCCACCACGAGGTCACGCCTCTGCTCCACCCACACCGGGTATTCTGCCAACGTGTGCAGGGCCGTGTCCACGGTCCGGCCATCGCAGTAAATAAATTACACCTAGTTACAAATCAAATGATCGTGCTCATTGCACAAGTTTTTGTGTTGGGTCAGAATCGAACCAACGACCTCTGGCCTAGCAGTCAGGAGCACTAACCACTATATCAACAGGCAAGCCAGAATGTAATTGTTTTTAGCACGAAACAGGTTTTAAATACAGAATGCCAAACCAATTTTTCACAGGAGCAAAGACGGCTACACAATCCAGCCGACTTCTAACTATGAAATCATAGAAGACAAAGCTAACGAGAAGTATCAGCTTACTATCAAAAGCATCGGCGTCGACGACGCTGGCGTTTACGCTGTTACTGCTAAGAATAAAATCGGCGAGGCATCGCAACAGGCCAAACTTACTGTTCGAAGTAAGTATAAATATTGACATACTTGTAACATAATTAAATTGTAGGCAATATAATGACATGAAATTTAATTTAACGTGGACTCGTATGTAGGTGAAAGAATATTCGTTCAGTGTACGGGTATTTACATTTATATCATACTATGAACTATGGTTAAAAACTTTAAAACACCAGAAGTTATGTTCAATCTTAGTTTAACCGTAATTTCATTTGTCTCCCAACAGCCGGTGAGCCAGTCTTCACCAAATCCCTTCAAAAGGAAACCGTAAAGGACTACGATGATGCTACTTTCAAGGTTCGCTGTGACGGTGTACCCAAGCCCGAAGTACACTGGTACCGTGACGGTAAAGAGATCGTTAATGATGAACGACTCACCATCACCACTGAAGTTGGAGGACAAGTTGACAGTGAGCTGGCTATTAAGAAATTCAACGCTAGTGATGCTGGCAAGGTGATTAAGCTCTTTAAATAACAAAATATCAGCCTATGTTAGATTAAAACTTTTTTCTACTTCACTCGAAAGGAACTTTTCACAATTAAGAGATAGAGCTAAGTAAATGACGGTGCAAAAGAATTTGCAATAACTAGGAAATATTTAGAAATCTAAAGATTCGATCAGTATTAAAATCGTACTTAAAAACCTCTTCATCTCGATGTTTTTCACCATACCAATAAAATCATCGATAGTTTATTCTACTTCAAATGTAATTCCTCAGTACAAAGTACGAGCCGTGAGTATGGCCGGAGAAGCAGTTTGCGAAGCCATCATCTCCTTGGCAACGAGTTCGCCAGGTTTTGCACACAAACTGGAGCGTCAAAAGGACGTGGATGAAGGAGAACCTTTAGAGCTGAAGGCTAAACTTGATGGTAGCCCCATTCCTACGGCTAAATGGTATGTACTCACAAATCTTATTTTTAATAAACTTGATTAACATTTTATTACTAAGATGGTGAAAGACTGGTTATGAAAAATATTAGGAACAGTACAAGTCGATTGTCTCCAGTTTTCTATAAATTGACAAAAGATAACAATCAGAATTAGAAAGCAGAGGAAGTTGACATCCTTGCTGGTGTTTATGAGCGAAGTCACACGATGCGGTCCGGAGCGGTGCAGCTACGTCATCCTAAATACAAATAGCTGTACCATGTCACAAGACGTGGTGTCATAGCGCGGCGTCGCATCGCAAGCGCACCGGGCTTGGCTTGATGGCGGCTTGGTTAGTGTGTCGAATGTGAATAATTGTGTGCTACAATTATTTATCATTTTTCTTTCATAGGATGAGTACCGATAATAATGGTAGCAGTAAAACACGTTTCTTTCGCTCCATAGCCGTTAACGGACTGAAATAACCCTGCACACACTGACTATATTGACGTTGCGGCGCCACACTGGACCGTGATGCACAGTTCCGTGCCGCACCACCCGTGTGGCACCCTATACCATACTGCACCGTCAACCCATCGTGCTTTAAGTGTTTATTCAATATTTACGTTAACATTCCTCAAAATCTCCTGTTATTCTAGGTTCAAGGACGGTACAGCACTCCCACCAGACGACACCCGGGTGGTTCAAACCGCACTTCCTGACGGTACAGTCAAGTTGACTATTGATCACGTTACCCCCGCTGATTGCGGTGCTTACAAACTGGTGATCAGCAATCCACATGGAGAGCATTCGGCGTTGTGCGCTGTCGCTGTTAATCGTAAGTGAATAAATCAGTTTTGCAAGAAATTAAAACATGGTTTGGGACGATATAACACTTGGATCTTATAACATGACTATGATTTCAGTAATTTTTATGGTATAAGGGGGTAACCGAGCAGACGGGTCACCTGATGGTAAGCTACTACCGCCGCCCGTGGACACCTGCAACTCAAAAGTCACAAGTACGTTGCTGCCCTTGGAGTCCCTCCTGATCGACTGAGCGGAAGGGGGATTTGGGCTCCGGTAACCTTACTCACTCAGTGGAGGCAACGAAAGAATTGCTTAAATTGGTTTTCTGTGAGGCCGTGGTATCACTCCGGTCGAGCCGGCCCATTCGTGCTGAAGCATGGCTCTCCCACGGTTAAAGTCATCTTCGATTTGGCTTTTAAAGGATTCTTTAAGTTAAGTCCAAATATTGCTGCTTTATTATCAGCAATATTTTCACCCAACTGAAAGAGCTGTCTTAGTGTATTCTTGTAGGCAACTTTCGTATTTCTCTCTTTCTCTATCAATGATGGATAACAGAGCACATCCTCTTTCATTATAATTTGCGTCATTATTTAAAAAAAAACTACAAGCATTGAAGTAAAGAAGGACATTATTCATTTTGAAAATAAAAAAACAAAACTCTACTCATACTTATACTCATACTTATTCAATTTTCTCTTTCTACATTTTATCTTCTAGAACATATCAGATACCCATCTAAAAACGATTATAAACATACATCATCAATCATCAACAGCCTTTACTAGCCAACTGCTGGACATAGGCCTCTCCTTAGAAAGGAGGTTTTAGCCTACTATACCACGCTGGCCAGACGGGTTGGTATAGTGTTTATGTCAAGTTTTCCTTCTTTTTGCAGTGCTGTTGTCCTGCGTAGTTTACTCCCTTAGTCTAGTATAAGAGCCGTCTTATGACACCCACGGGATAAATTGGGGTGGTGACATTCCGTATTCTTAATCCGTCACCACACGGAATATAAATAAACATACATACTGTTTGAAAAACATGCATAATTCACGTGTTATCTAAAAATACGATGATTTTATATATCTTGAACAACTCTTACCGTCAAACATTTTCATGTTCTCAGCAACTCCTAGAAAGCCTTCCTTCAGTCAAGAACTGGAGGATGTGAAAGCTGTTATCGGACAACCTCTGAAGCTGGAAGCCAAGGTTATGGCGTTCCCGGCACCCGAAGTCAAATGGTTCAAGGATGGTACGTACGTACACAATACATGGTGAAGTAAAGGTGTTCTTCAGTACTTCTGACTTAGATTAAATCAGAATACGTTCAGGCGTTCGTTGACCAAGAAAATAGCTTGCAAAATTTGATTCAGATTCTAATACTACATGATGTGTGGGAGATAGAAAGGTATACTAATAACTAAATCCTATTCTGAAAACAAAACATCTCAGTATATCTCCAGTTTTATAGACATTCTTAGAAAATCTTAGCCTGGTTGGGTTGGCCAGGCTTTGATTCGAGTCTGGGTATTGCATCCATATATATCTATATTTTATAGGTCCCTTTGCACCACATTATTTACTTACCTTACAACACTTTAAACAACAAGGATTCTAAAATATATAAAATATTTGAGTCTGATTAAAGGCGTAGGGTATTCAGGTACCAGGATGCTGTTCCAACAAGAATATTTTCTTCAAGTTTTCATCTTAATGCAGGTCTCCCAGTCCGTCCATCGCAAGCAGTCAACTTTATCAACCAGCCCGGCGGATTGATTGGCCTGAGTATCGACAGCTGCAAACCTGAAGATGCGGGTGTATACTCGCTCACTGTCACAAACAAGCTAGGAGAGGTAAACCAACATGACATTAATGTAAATAAGAGTGAAAATACACAAAGTGTATTCAAGTTTTTCCAGCTCTTTCCGATTTAACTTATTCCAGTAAACCAATTTAGGGCAAAAATATCAGCGAAAGCAAACGGACAAAACTTGGAATGACATTTAAAATTAAAACATCAATGTATTTTCTTATGTTTATTCTAAATTTGAAAATTGAGAAAGATATATTAAAAGATATTCGAGCATATGCAAAAACAAAACACATTTAATCACAATTTTAATCAACAGATTGGATCCAAAGCAAAGGTGGACGTTACACAGAAGGAACGCAAGCCGGCATTTATTGCTGAACTGCAGCCTAGTAAAGTCATCGAAGGTTTCCCAGTTAAACTCGAGGTTAAAGTGCTTGGACATCCCCAGCCCACCCTGAAATGGTAAGTTAATTTTCAATTTTATTTTTGTAGCATTTAACATTTTATTCTATTATCAAAATATCAGAACTCTACTAAAATGATTTTCACATGTCATATTTACAGACAGGTTTCTTGAAGTTATTTATTGAACAAGAAAAACGTCATGTTGAGTTTCAAAATCTACGTAAAATTAATCTTTTCAATTCACTCATATCAAAATCCCGATGGTTGATATATATATAGGTATTATATACTGGTGGAGGAACGAGCGTCATGTCCCTCCAACATAAAGGGAGGATCCTCCGACCGGGCGAGGTGATCATGCCTGGCGCGCCGCGGCCCCACGGTTGATGTTGGGAAGTTATATACGAGTATATGCTAATCGGCGAGAGAATTCTTCATATCGCGATACAGGATTAGCATTTTTAGCTTATTAAAAGTTGAACTTCAAATCCAAGTGACGCAATCTGAACTGCAGAAATAGAAATTGATTACAACAAAATGTTGGTAGAAGGATATTTTAAGATGAATATTTCTCTAGGACTCACAACGGCAAAGAAATCGTTCCGGATGGAGAGCATATTCGTGTAGTGTCGCAGCCTGATGGAACTCACGCTTTACTACTTGACAAGGCGACAGCGGCTGATGCTGGCAAGTACGGCGTTGTTGCCGTCAACGACAAAGGCGAAAGCGGCAGCTCTGCTGAACTTACTGTAGCCAGTTAGTACCGTATCTTTAAAATTAAGAAGTAAAGACAAAACAGTTTTAAATCTTTTTTTGCCTGCGCATTTTTTATTTTCATTGTGTCTTATTTGATAATTGACCAGGATTTCAGTAGTATTTTTTCCTTGGGATAGTTTTATTTGCTGTGCAGAATTTAGCCTACTATACAAAGATATCTATAGAATGTCAACGAGTGACTATTGATTTACTAAGGACAGTTTATTTATTTTTTAAATCATTTTATACTGTACATTAGGTCGAAAAGATGACTCCACACCACAAGAGCGTCCGCAGTTCATCCATGGCTTACGTGATCTAACCGCTGAGGAGGGACAACCGCTCTCGGTCTCTGCTCCATTTGTGGGTAATCCGGTTCCAGAAGTCACCTGGACTAAGGATGGAAAACCTCTCAAGCCTAGTGAAAAGATCCTGCTTACTTGTGACGGAAAGAGGGTTAGTTAAAAAGGCAGTGCTTATTAATGCCACTTGTCTGTTAATATTTGGTATAGAGGGACAAACGAGCAGACGGGTCACCTAATGGTAAGTGACTGCCACCACCCACGGACACCTGTAATTCAAGAGTCACGATTGTTCTGCCGCCCTCTGAACCCCTATCTACTCTCCCCCGAATCAAGAAATTGGTCTCCGATAACTGTGAAGTAATCACTCAGTCGGTGAAAAGCAACGGAAAATTGGTTAACAACCGTTTCCCGTGAAGCCGTGGTATCACTATGGTGTTACTATGAATTATGCTGCGACTTCAAATATCAATAATTACAAACAATTATAAATTAATTAATTCTTAAAATCAGTTTAGTGGTTTAGGCTGAAAGCATAACAAACAAAAAAAACTCAATCACATTTTTATTCATATGTTTATTTCGGGGATGCCTTACTAGTTTCGGACATGACGGGACCCATGAAGCAGAGATGAAAACTTTGTTGAGTTGGCCCAAATATGTGATATTTTTTATTCAATTAAACTGGACAAATTTTTGACACAGGTGGGTCTAGAGATCAATCCTGTAGAACTGCCAGACGCTGGAGTTTATGCAGTGAAGTTGGTAAATCCTCTGGGTGAAGACACTTCTGAAGGCAAAATTAATGTACGCAAAGTCTACCAAGCCCCCACATTCAGTCAGAAGTTCACTGACTTGCAGCAGGTACGTACCTATATTACGTATCTATATTGTTTTTTTTTTTTTCAAGATTATATCATAGAAGCTATTAACATGGATTATAAAAATTAATTAATCAAATTTTACTGACTTTTCGAAATTTTAAATCTGAAACATTGTGATTTTTAGCTAAAATGTATGTGACGAGATAATTTCACCACTTTCAAATAATAGAAAAAGTCATAAAGAATCACAGAATCACCCAAATTAATCTGAATACTTTCATAACCCACTTAAAACAAATTTTTCTGTCTACAGCTTCCAACATTCGACGCAAAATTCCCCGCTCGTGTCTTCGGTATTCCCTCACCAGATATCACGTGGTACAAGAACGGCTCACTCCTGAAACCCAGTGATAAATATACCATAAAGAGAGACGGAGATGCTTGCTGTCTCTACGTCAGAGATCTGACGTTAGATGATGCTGGATCGTACAAATGCGTGGCTAAGAACAAAGAGGGCGAAGCCAGTTGTGAGGCCAATTTAGAAGTTGTTGATAAAATGTGAGTAATTAGTGTTACGGTTGCTTCATTTTAATGCATTAGTTTATGTTGCCGATTACAATGATGGGTATGACAATATACGTGGATATACATTACTTTACCCCTTGTGTAACTAAAAAACTTGTATCAAAACTATACAAATAAATTGCTAGTTCCTTTGTGTCATCAACAGCCTATAATAGTCCACTGCTGGACATAAGCCTCTCCTTAGAAAGGAGGTTTTGGCCTACTATACCACGCTGGCCAGACGGGTTGGTATAGGGTTTGTGTCAAGTTTTCCTTCTCTCTGCAGTGTTGTTGTTCTGCGTAGTTTTTTCCCTTAGTTGACTCTTACAACACCAATGGGATGAATAGGGGTGGTGACAATCTGTATTCTTAATCCGTCACCGTTTTGTGTACTCTACATTATTGTCTTTTGTGTTGTAATTATATGTCTTTGATAGTCAAGTTTAATCATTAGTACTTAAAATTAAAATAAAATGTGGCTTCGATTAGTTATAGCAGTATTATTATTAGTATTATAATGTAGTATTATAATTAGTAATTAGTAATAGCAGAATATAAACACGTTGGACAGATTCGGAATACTTAGTTTACCTTTCTCTGGTATGGCGTGAATCATAAATGGATGCGCAATATTATAAACCAGCTACTGTAAATCTTTAAAAAATATTAATAATTTTCTAAGTAGGTATAATATTAAATAATAGTAATAATTTTCTTATGAATTAGAACGGGTCCATTTTTTTTCACACAGCGCTCGAAAGCAAAAGGTGGAGCCGCCATCGTTCCTCAAAAAGATTGGAGACATCGAAGTGTTCCGTGGTATGAGTGCCAAGTTCACCGCCTGCGCTACCGGCACTCCTGACCCTGACGTTGAATGGTACGATTCTCTAATAGTCGCCTAATGATAAGTCTGTCGAACAACTTGTCTCTTTTGAAATTCTAGTTAATTCTTCAGGAAAAAAATGTTGTTTTTTTTATAATAAAAAAAAATGTTTGCAGGCAAAAAATGTGACAAAATTGATTAATCGTTAAAAAAAAGAGTGCATGTACAAAGTGTGCTATTGTTTTGCAATTTGTTGTCAAAATTACTTTTATTTATGAATATCTGCGTCAGTCTAAGACGCTATAATATTATTCGCTGCTGCACGTCTAGCGATGTCCCTCCATTTCTGCCCTGTCCCTCAATTTTAATAAATTTGAAAAAAAAAGCGTGGAGTGCTTTTTACTATTGAAAACATGCACCCAACGCTTTTTTTCAAATTTATTAAAATTTATTTTCTATTTTTTAGTTTGGTTTTCTATAAAAAGCGTGTTTTTTTAGTTTTTTAAACTATTACTATTTGTGTGGTTTTTCATCACGCCCATTACAAAAGATAATACTTTATCCACTATCTATCACTACAGTTAATCGTTTGGGTTCAATGCAATTCAATTTATTTTATTTTATTCCAAGCTACTGTTACATGTGATTGATGTAATTGTCAGACGGTTTATAATCCCTTCTCTTTCCTTTCAGGTTCCGTAACGATGAGAAGCTGTTCCCATGCGAACGCATCCGACTGGATAAGGAAACCACCGGTCTTTTGAGGCTAACCCTGAGTGGAGTAGACCCCAGCGATGTGGGCACCTACAAGTGCAGAATATACAACCCCCACGGAGAAGACTCCTGTACTGCTAACCTTACCTATGACAGTAAGTGTTTTATAGTGATATACTTTTCCTTCAACACAAAGAGACTTTTAGACCATAACCTCCTTACTAAGGAGAGGCCTAAATCCAGCAGTGGACTATTAAGGGCTGAGATGATGATGATGATGACGATGACTATGTATTAACAAATCAAAGTATTACTTCAGGTTGTTCTTTGAAGATTTTGACAAACTATGCAATCGTCCACTTTGAAGATTTTTTGCCATAGTCTTATGTGAATACCAGCTATCAGAATAGCTTCAAATAACTTAATAACCATGAGTCTAAGTATCCAGCCGTAATTATGACACCCCAAAATAAAATACCTAGTGAAGGTTAACTGAGCAATTTCTTTTCCAGCCCTAGAACCTCATACCGGCAAGCGACCCATCGCCGACCAGTACTCAGACTTCGATAAGATGAAGAAGACAGGCGTCCCCATGCCTCTGGCAGACAGACCCATCATCTCTCGCATGGCTGATAGACATCTCACCCTATCGTGGAAACCTTCCATTCCACATGGTCCTAGGTTCCCTGTTACCTATCAGGTTAGTAAAACCATCGTACTTATCAAAAATTCATTGTAGAAAATTGTGAAACCGTCAATACAATACATGTATTATAAAAAAATATTAAGACTACTGACCCCTAAAATAACCGAACCGAATAATTTCGACTGAATTCCTTTCAAAGACACTCCTCTAAAATGTAAATCTGATAAAATTCGTCATATATAAAGATATGAATGACTATTTAACTATCAGAATATATAAATTTCTCTAATATTTATCTCATGCATAGAAATGTTCTCTAGGTGGAGATGTGTGAAGTGCCCGATGGTGACTGGTTTACAGCCCGCACGGGACTCCGTTCCTGCGTCTGCGATATCCGCAACTTAGAACCCTTCCGCGACTACAAATTCCGCATCCGTGTCGAGAACAAATATGGCGTCAGCGATCCCTCTCCATACGCCATTACACACCGATCTAAGTTGGAACCCGACCCGCCTAAATTCATTCCATATTTGGACCCTGGTATTGATTTCAGACCAGAAACTTCTCCATACTTTCCCAAGGACTTTGATATTGAAAGACCTCCTCATGATGGTTATGCCCAAGCTCCACGGTTCCTGCGTCAAGAGCATGACTCCCAGTATGGTGTTAAGGGCCATAATGTGAATTTGTTTTGGTTCGTGTACGGCTATCCTAAGCCTAAAATGACATACTTCTTTAACGATGAACCGATTGATATTGGTGGAAGATACGATTGGAGCTACACCAGAAATGGACAGGCTACCCTGTTTATTAACAAGTGAGTATTCTGGTTTTTCTTTTCTTGTTAAAAAGAATACAGGAACGTGTTCAACCCAACAAAATTTAACGGTATCGCATTTATCAAGAATCTATGCCAACATTCTTTTCCAGGATGCTGGAACGCGATGCTGGATGGTACGAGGCTGTGGCCACAAATGAACACGGTCAAGCTCGCCAGAGAGTCAGGCTTGAAGTAGCAGAGTACCCTACATTTATCAGACGCCCAGAAGAAACAGTCGTTTTACAGCGCAAGACTGCTCGTATCGAAGCCAGAGTCACTGGCGTACCTTACCCTGATATCAAGTGGTACAAGGACTGGCAGCCGCTTGCACCCAGTTCCAGGACCAAGGTGAGATCTAGGTGTAAAATAATCTCTATACTTTGCTAACACTATCACATGAGCACATGTGGTAGTACTAGAGACACACAATGTCATAATTATTTTGGACTGTTTTATCGTAAATCCGTGCTATCAGGAATTTCTAAGAATTTCTAAGGCAGGTTCTGGATTATCTTATCAGTTTAATGTTAATATTCACCAGCGTCATAGAATTCCGAAAATATCTGCCAGCTGGTTGAATGATCTGAAACGGCAAACTTATGATACTCTACTTCTCTCACTTAATAAATCTCTTCACTAAAACATTATTACTTTCCAGATTCAGTTTATAGAACCGGATATTTGCATCCTGATAATCAATGACGCTATACTGAAAGATGAGGGTCTCTATTCTATTTCTGCGAGAAACGTCGCAGGATCTGTTAGCTCTTCAGCCATGCTGCACGTTGAAGAGTTGGAGCATGAATACTTAGACAGGTACTATAACCCATTATAAATACAATGTTTTCCTACGATAAGGTTTGTACTGACTATTTTATTCTTTACTTGTTAGGATTCGCGAACACCCGCCTCGTGTGAAGCCAAGTTTGAAACCGTTTGGTGACTTCTACGACCTTGGAGACGAACTCGGCCGAGGAGTGCAGGGAGTCGTATACCATGCTGCTGAAAGACTTACAGGTAAATTCAATATGGAGGTAGACTAGCACAAGTGTTTTAAACTTTTTCTAAATTACCAAATAGTTTACTGTGATTTTGTCTTACAAATTTATACTTCTAATTTTTCAACTTTCTAGGAACTTCACACCTATTTTAAACTTTGTAGACTGTGTTACTTAGTTAATGAAATTTCAAAATTTAGCTTCTAGATAAATTATTGGCTGATTAATTACCATACTATTTTAGTATCAGACGAGCTGAGGGTGGACTTTCCAGCCAGTTAGAAAATGGGCTTTATTGGTGTGGTGTAATTCTTTCCTCAGGTCGTAATTACGCTGCCAAGATTATGCATGGCCATTCCGCTCTCAAGCCCTTCATGAAGAACGAATTAGATATCATGAATATGCTCAATGACCGTCACCTCATCCGCTTGCAAGACGCTTACGAACATGAGCATACTCTTGCTCTGGTTCTTGAGCTGGCAGGAGGAGGAGAACTAGTTAGAGATAGATTGCTGAGGAGCCAGGGCTACACAGAAAGGGAGATCGCAGGATACATAAGACAAGTTTTGAGGGGTATCAAATATATGCATGATAACAGCATAGCCCATTTAGGCCTGACGGTTAGTACCTATTACTATACCTATTACAATATTATTTTTAGTAGTTTAAGATTGAGGCAATTTAGTCTAATATAAAGTAAAAAAAGTAAAAAAAAAGATGCTTATGATGTGAAACAGCTGACATCTCTATCATGTGACATGTGCCACACACGTTCGTTTCTTTTCACAAAATCACTTCCACAGGTTGCAGGAAAGCGTGAGGAAAGGTGTTACTTGGGATTGCAATCCGGGCTCATTTTCGATCCGGCCGGTCCCGGCTGGATTTCCTTATCCTCCTTATCCTATTCCTTATCCTTGTCCTGGTCCGGCCGGATATGTCCGGACCCGGCCGGATTAGGACCAGGATAACTTACATTCCTTTTTCATTCAATATTGTGTCGACCATGAATGAAGTGTAAAATACAATACGTATACGAAATCAACTTTATTATGACTATATTTTAAAAAGAGAAAACAATGAAATTCTCAGTGTTAAAACAAATTAAAAGTCAACACAATGTCAATCTTAAAAAAACCATATCTTCATCTTTAACGTAACTAATTTAACGTTCTTAGTTAGATTTCAAAGATGAAGTAGAAATTAATTACTTAAATTTGACGAAGCAGCAACTAAAGCATAACAAACATTTGTTGATATGAGCCGCGAGCTACTCACTGAACAAAACATATCACGACACGCTGTGGTGTGGGGCGGTCACCAGACGTTACAGGGACGTCCTGAAGCGCCACCTAACAGTATGTGACATGCCGTGTGAGGAGTGGCAGGAGCGCGCTCAACGCCGATCTGAGTGGCAAATGACCGTCCATCAGGTTATAGAGCAATACGAGGCAATCCGCCTTGAGAGCATGGACTCAACGCTGGATTGCAAAAACAAGACCCAAGCCCCTGTGTAACTACACCTATAACTCAGCTGGTCAACTGCACTGTGTGTCATGTGACAGGACCTTTAAGACCAAATTCTAGTTCGCCATCGAAGGGTACGTCGCGGAAGGCATCATCATCATCATTGATGCCGTATCCACGGATTACCGGAACCGGATTTCCAAATTGCAATCCCTAGGTGTTACACATGAAAACCTTTATAAGAAACATAAAAATGTACATACATTTGTTTTGTTTAACTGAACATTTAAACTTTTTCTAGATTGGAGAACTATTACTCTCTCATGCCGGTAGCGATGAAATCAAACTGTGTGACTTCGGTCTTTCCCGCCGGATCCGATTCAACGAACACGCTTCCTTGGACTACGGAATGCCAGAGTTCGTAGCTCCTGAGATCGCTCGAGGGGAGGGAGTCTCCTTTGGAGCTGATATGTGGAGTATCGGAATAATAACTTACATTCTCCTGAGTGGACATTCTCCATTCAGAGGAATGAACGACAGGGAGACTCTTACTAGGATCCAGGAAGGTCGATGGGAATGGCACGATGAAGGTAAGTTGAAGAAGAAGTTGAATGAAATAAGATCCCGTGACCAGATCGCTTTTAGCTAGCAATCACTGTTTCTCTTATAAACCACCATAAAAACACTTTTAGTGTGGCATCCTAACTACATGAAATATCGCTAGTATATTTAGGAAATTATTATCTTGGCATTTTTTACAGAATGGTGGTCTCGCCTCAGCAAAGAGAGCAGAGATTTCATCTCGAAGCTCTTGGTGATCAACTGGCATGAACGTATCGACGTTAACACCGCGCTCTCACACCCCTGGCTAACTCTTGCCGACAGAATCTACCAAGAGGAGTACCAGATTACCACCGACAGACTGAGGAACTATTACAATCTGTATAGGTGAGCATTTTAAAAGTTTAGTAGAGATGTAACCTATCCTTACCTACCTACTTTCTCTGTATGAGAATATTTCTTCTAATTCAATTCAGGAACAGGAGAATTTGCCCAAAATAATGAAATATTAATTTATAATTTCATAAAATGCTCTTTGAAATTTGGCAAGATTTTGAAAATCTTCGAACGATACCTACATATGGATGGGATTATAACCAATAACCTAGACAGAAGTATAAACTATATCTTTGTTTATTTCAAGCCAAACAAGTAAAAGATTACAATCTCTACAAAGGTGTCCTTAATATTTTGTGGCCGTGGTGCTTCCCTGTTTAAAAGGGTGTATGCCTATTTTACTTCATTTTGTCTCCCGCTTGGCTAAGGAGGGAAGTGGATTTACTGTATTTCCATCTCCTCCAATTTTCTTCTGATTAATTTCGTTGCGGGTACCAAGACAGGTTAATTTCTCCCTGGGACTTCCCGAGTGTCATAACTCGGTGTGTTCGTTTGTCACTGCTGTGGATCCTGGAGTTACAGTGGTAGGCGTGTAGGTGGGATTGGTCCCAATAAAAAAAAGGTATCCTTACACGCTTCTGTCTAAGCTACTATAACTGTAGTATGCTACTACTGTCTTATCTAAGTTACTACACAATTCTATCTAAGACAAGGTTTCTTATCTATTTCCTTCTTCGAATGTAAAACCATATATTACAGGGACTGGACGAGCAACGCTCAGTGCCGTACTTGGTTCCGCCGCCGACCGCTCAGTGGCGCCTTTGAGCATCCCAGCAAGATGGTCTACCCGCCAGGGGAGATATACACCCCAGAAGGTTAGCTCAAAATGACTGTAGCGAAACGTTTCTTATTTTATTATTCATACTTTTCTACCTCAAAATCAGTGTTATAGAGTGATCAAATTCTGGGATGATAATGAGAGTAAATTAACATCAAAGTCAGATAAGTTTAGTTGGTAGTATTATGCTATTCTATAAATACCTACAGCATAATCGCACTAACTCATTGACACATATTACAGGCACTCCAGACCGTGCGCCTCACGACCGTACGCCTGGCGAATTTGATGTTAGCTTCAAACAATGGGACCACCCCGACTGGGAAGTTTCTGCCAAATCTGAGAGCCAGTAAGTACTGCTAGTGCTACGATATCCCAGAAGAAGGTCCAGATTAATTACACGAACTATATTAACTAAAAAAAGAATTGTTCTTGCAGTTACCAGAACGGCCCCGATACTTACCTACTACAGCTACGTGACACGCAATTCCCAGTGCGTCTGCGTGAATACATGAAGGTGGCATGCTTTCGTTCACCTGGGTACCAACTTGCTGTGAGGGACACTTACGATCCTAGGGTAAGATACAAGATATGTTATTTGCATAAACATGTGTACATTAAAGATGTTAAGTAATATTTTATGATCAACCATTACCGTTTGACCGTTACTGGTGGACAAATATAAAGTAGCAACTACTCTCCAATATAATATAAAATACACATAAGTTGTACCAAAACGAAGTCACGTTTAGAAAAAAAAAATGTATTAAAATGCATTTTTAAAAAGACACTTTATTTTTCAGACGCCGATAGTCCACGAGCGACGTCGCTTCACGGATATTATGGACGAAGAAATCGACGATGAACGTCGCGAGAGAATCAACAATTATGGTACAGAATCCTATACCATCCGAAGACTTCGCCACGAGCTTGGCACTAGGCTCGACAGCTATGCTGAAGCGCAGGCATTTATGGAATCTAAAAAGGATGGTCAACTTCCATTCTTTAGAGAAAAACCTCAATTACTTCCGATCCGCGAAGGTGAACCAGCTCAACTATCATGCTACGCTGTAGGAGACCCCAAACCATCCATCCAATGGTTCAAGAACGACATGGTTTTAGCTGAAGGCCAGCGCATCAAAATTGTTGAAGATGAAGACGGTAGATCAACACTCAAATTCGAGCCATCTATGCATCATGATATTGGTTATTATAAAGTTGTAGCAAGAAACAAAGTAGGTCAAACTCTGACCAGAACGAGAATTGTCGAAGCCACGACTCCCGATGCACCTGATAGCCCAACTGCCAGCGAAACTTCAGACACCGAAGTGCTTCTAAAATGGAGGCAACCTAAATATGATGGAAACAGTCCAGTTATTTGCTATAGTCTCCAATACAAAGCCGGAGATAGTGTAGAATGGATAGAAGTCGCAAATAATATAGACCATGAATTCTTCGTAGTCCGCGGTCTGCAGCCCGCCACCAGCTATCAATTCAGATTATCTTCACGTAATAGGATTGGATGGAGTGACAAAGGCATCCCCACTAACTTAATAAAGACTAAAGAATCCGGTGCACCGAAGATCGAAGTTACCAAAGCCATGAGGCATCTTCAACAGTTAACCGAATCTGGACAAGAAATTGTTCTGGTAGAGGATAAACCCAAATTGGATTATAGCACTGAAGATAATCCAATGGAATGGGTATCGTCACAGGCTTTTACGGAACGCTTTACATTTGTTTCTGAATTATGGCGTGGAAAGTTCTCGATTGTCGTAAAGGGTGCTGACAGAACCAACGACACTCTAGTTGTATCGAAAATTCTAGAAATCCGACCCGAAACCGAAGTACAAGTTCAGAGGGAATTCGATTGCTTGAAGAGGCTTAGACACGAGAGAATATCAAACCTCCTAGCAGCCTACCAAGCTCCTGGATCACCAATCGCAGCATTAATAATGGAAAAACTACAAGGAGCTGATATTTTAACTTATTTGTCTAGTCGTCACGAATACACTGAACAAATGGTAGCCACAATTGTCAATCAAATTCTTGATGGTCTTCAGTACCTGCACTGGCGAGGATACTGTCACCTGGACCTTCAACCTGATAACGTTGTGATGGCGTCAGTTAGGTCAATTCAAGTTAAACTGGTCGATTTTGGTTCCGCGCACAAAGTTAACAAGTTAGGTACCAGTGTACCGCAAGTCGGATCATTGGAATATAAAGGTAAGATAAATAAATAGTAGATAATAATAATTTTATTGTCTTTAAACTTTCTTGATAACTCATATTAGACACTCTGATTGAGATGATTTTGATCCAGTTACCACCTACGTTCATAATTACATGTTTGTTTTTGTCTATTACAGCACCAGAAATAATAAACGACGAGCCGGCGTACCCTCAAACTGACATCTGGTCCCTCGGAGTACTTACATACATCATGCTATCAGGAGTATCACCATTCAGGGGACAGGATGACCTTGAGACGAAACAGAACATCTCCTTCGTTAGATACAGATTTGAGCATCTCTACAAGGAAATCACTGCGGTATGCAAAAGTAGAATTATTAAACCTCGATTAGACGTGTTTACTCGGTGTTCACGCGCGCTTTTTATGTTATATGAACACCGAATATAGGTTTTATTCACTGGGCCACTAAATTTAAATTTCAATGAATCATGGCAAGGCTTATGTCATGTCATGTCATTATGTGGATCTTGTCACCATTAAAATTGCATTACTGTCTAATTTAAAACATAGTAGTCAAGAAATAGAATGTATTTTCCAGTAACAACGTTCAAGCCGTGACATCTTCAAAATTCGTCTCATTAAAACGCGTTACTTTAGTTTGCAAAGTGAATTATCTTACAGAAAAGCCCGCTCTTAGATCTACATATTTTATTAAGAATAAATACACAGCTACCCGAAGGGCAGCTTAACTCTTTGATTTCGGACCCCATCACTCGTCAGGTCCGAAACTGGTTGAGCATCACCAAAATACACACATGAGTTAAACTGTATATCTTTAACAAATCGTATCAATAATACGAAGTGTCACCGTGGGTTTCGTAAGAGCTCACTGAGGGAGCAAACTATGCAGGAGAACAGCACGGCTAAGAGAAGGAAAACTTGACAGAAACCCTATACCAACCCGTCTGGCCAGCGTGGTATAGTAGGCCAAAACTTCCTTTCTAAGGATAGGCCTATGTCTGGCAGTGGACTATTATAGGCTGTTGATGTGATGATGTGAAAAGGCAAAACACTTATTTTAACTCTACCTAAACCTAACCTTTCAGGAAGCGACACGGTTCCTGATGTTCTTGTTCAAGAAAGTCCCGCTGAAGAGACCATCTGCCGAAGAATGTTACGAACACCGGTGGTTAACACAGAGTGATTTCATGAACAAGAAGAGGGAGAGAGCCGTCTTTCTCGGCAACAGGCTAAAGGTGAAATATGCTTTTGGAATTTTACTGCTATTATAAATGCGAACGTTTGGATGGATGTATGTTTGTCTAACTCGCCAGAACGGTTGAGCGGACTAGAATAAAATTTGAGAAAAAAAAGTCCGGAAATCAATTGAAAAATTCGACATTAATAAAAGCAGCAGAAAAAAAACTATAAGATATCTTGTAGGCTTAAAAATCTGACGCTGTAATGCTAATCCACAAAAATAAATTTTTGATTATTAATACTTTTGTATACGTGTTTACACACAGGAGTTCTCTGACGAATATCACGAAAAGAAAACTCGGGAGGCATCAGGGGCTGACACAGTGTCTGCGGCCTTCGGACCAGTCTCCCCCAGACTCCTCACCCGCTCCAACAGTATTCAGGACGAACTGCTCACAACATTTGCAACACATTGAACTGTCACGCACTTGGAATTTTGAACCTTATTGGTATAGGATAGGAACTATGACATTAATAACGACCTGTTTTAACAAGATTGGAAATGTGATATTTGTAACTAATTTTAATATTTTGGTCACATTTTTCAGCATATTCACTAAAAGTTCTGTAATAACTGAAAAGTTATTTTAAACTTTATTCAAATATCTACAAAGTTGATATTAAAACAATTTTACTTGATTTTTAAATCATCATTTAGATACTATTAAAAAATAAATATACCTTAAACTTCCTTTTTTATAATATGATGATGATAAAGATTCTATCAATGACGATAAAATAATAATTTAACCTTAGTTAAAAATGACATACTATTTCGACAGCTGTCTAAGAACTGTCAAAATACTAGCGGCAACTTTGTCTAAACAATATTATAAATGTCAAAGTTTTTTTAGTTACTTAATCACGTAAAAACGGTTGACCAAATTTGGTTGAAATCGGGCACATAAACCAATAAATGCATATGATATTTTTTGACAAGAAAAAACATTAGACTCCTGTGAAATCATCGGAATACGAACTACCGGACGGAATTAATTCGAAATGTGTAAACATTATGCAGGGTAAATAAATATATTCTTTATATTAGTTGCAGGCAGAAGTTGGTTTAATTTTTCAAATTTTAAGACCTCAAACAAGATTGTTTGTAATCGCTGATGAGTTTAAGCCCTCTAGATTTTTATATGCAATGAATATTTTAGTACTAGGACTTAAATTTAACAGCACAGATTACAACAATAAAAAATAAATTCCAAGTGTGTGCTACAAACCTCATTCGTCACAAATCATGAACATTTAAACAAACGAAATCTAGTCATAAAGGATGAAAAATCACAACAGTTTTCGTAATATTAAGCTATTTATTGTATACAAATTTTTACTATTTATTATTTATACTAATTGGTATGATGCTCCAGTATTAATTGAACTTAATAAAGAGCATTGATTTGATTTAAACACTTTTTATTACATTTTTTTTCTATGAGTACATATTTTATTAAATATTCCCTCAACTGTCACGTACTGTCATCGGGGCTCTAATATACAAACCGCAGCCCCGGTTAAAATACTAGAGCCCCGTTATTGAAACCAGGGCGCAAGTATATCGATCAAACGTTAGCGATTTGGTAAACAGCACTAGCATGTCATATCTGTCTCAGTCAGCAACCGTGAATGTAATAATACAAGAAAAATATAATTTCAAATAAAGAAGTAAAGAATTAATAAAGAAGTGTTTATCTACATTAGCTTTGAGTAGAGTAGGTCTTACTCGTCTGGAATTTCTGGTAATAGTGCCAGACTGTCACTGTCAAGCATTTAACTGAATTAACCTTTTCAATTAAATTCTTACTAATACCTGTAAATATTTAAACTTATATAATATAATTTATTTTTGATTTCATGATAAATTCATAACATATTTTTAAGAACAGGATAAAATATTCATTATTTTATATTCCAACTAGAATTGGTCTATTACATTACGATCCTAGACGATTTGTGTGGTTTATGACTACTGGTGTGAGTTTTATAAGACTGGCTAAACTCCAGGCTTCGTTCGTAGACTGCTATCTGCGATGGTAGAAATCCTCAATAGAACCAAGCTTGGATGAGCAGGTTTTAATTTTATTCGATTTCAGATAAAACAACGAAATATTAGGCGTAATAATTGACTATTTTTTTTTAACTTAAACTTTTTATTTATCATTTTACTCGCGCATTTAATGCAATTTAAGTTATCCCATAATTTATTGAACAAAAATGGGAAATTCAAGATCACGCATTCTACCTTTGCGTGCAAAATGTCACTAAGAAATCAAAATGATAACTTTTTAAATTAATATGGCAACACTGAATACCGATAAATCGTCAAAATCATGGATCAAGTTCACATTATCTGTACTCAAGGTCATTTGTAATTGTATCTAATAATGATATATTTTTAACGCTTTCCCTAAGAAAAATACAGGAACTTATACTTTTTAAGGAGGTTAAGCGAGCAGACATGGACATCTGCAACTCACAAGTCACAAGTGTGTTGAGAACTGAAACATTGGAGAAGGGCTACCCCTTCTCCAATGTTTCAGTTCTCACCTCATTCACTCGATTTTAAGTAACGAAAGATTTACTTAACACTGGTTTCTTGTGAGTAGAGGAAATTTCGGGACTAAAATATCCCGATCATATTTTAGTCCCGAAATTTTCGGATTCAAATTGAATGAATCCCGGGATTTTCGGGATTGATACATTTTTTACATAAGTCAATAAAAATGTGCGTAAAAAGAAACGCACTTGCCTTGATTTGATGTTTTAACAGCCATCTTGTCTACACAGCTGATTTCATTTATTTTTGCTAATGACTATGCTATGATATTTGCTAATTCTGGATTATGCGTAAAAGTGTGTAATTTATAAAGTTTCTGGGCAATTTAATTAAAAAATATGAGTAGGTATCTATAAACATTGGTCTCTTAAGCATATAGTTGTTTTTTTATAGTTTATCTAAATAAGTCTAAAGAAGTTGATTTTTTGAAGTTTATTGTTAGTTACATAAATTATTTACCGCAACACAAAACATACTAGGCACTAGTTTGTTTATTTTATAAGAAGAAAGTATAATTTTGGTTAACCGCCTTTTTGGTGATTCAAAACTTAAATATTCTATGTCCTCACAAAACTAAATGATAAACAAAAAAAATATTTTAATATGTTTTACTGTCTTTTCGTTACCACTTTCCATTGCCAATACAATCCCGGGACTATCCCGGGATCCCGAGATTAACTGTAGATAATCCCGAAATCCCGGGATTATAAAAATCGACCGGGATCGAATCCTCTACTTGTGAGGCTACATTTGGATAGGCTGATAGGCAGGGAGAAGCCACTAGCTTTCCCTGAGATAAGGCCTAGTTAGATGAAGCGTCAATCTAGGGGGAGGGGGCTGAAATCACATGGCCGGGCCATTTGATTTTGTTCTCCCTAGAGCAGGTCGCCTAAAGCTGGCCATCGGGATGGTTTTTTAGTGGCAACACCACATACTCCTGGCTCCTATATCCACAAGGAGCCGGAGATCCGAAGGGATTTTCACAATAAAAAGGTTATCACTCTATTTATGCCGCAAGCTCTCGCACAGTTAATATAAACGTGATTGTGTTTTTAAACATGACCTTAAAATACTTACATAAATCACACCAGTATTAGTAGGTATTATAACTAGAATATGTTTAGGAATTTTTGATTAGAAATTCAGCATGGAAATATTTTTCGAAATTAAAAATATATCAATATGCATAAAGGATGTTAGAAAAGTACCGGAACAGCAGAATAATTCGCTAGGGACGCATTTTTTCGGAAATACCCTTATGAATATTGACCTTAACCCGTGAGATAACCTTCAAGGTTGTGATCGAGGTCAATTTCAAGGTTACCAATGGATGGCCACGGAAAATTCCTGCAACTTTTGTGTTTAACGTATTTATTTATTATTCTGCTGTTCCGGTACTTTTTTAACACGCGGTATATAATAGTTCTCATATATTTATTTGTCCTGGGTAGGATTCAAACCCACGACCTCCGGCTCAGTAGTCAAGATCACTAACCACCAGACTAAGGCAGAATATTGTCAGTGTCAGCAGTAAAAAATATTTGAATTTTCAGAAATTTCTAGATCTTGGCCTGATTGTACACTATTTTTTTTAAAAGGCGCTCGAGGTCACCCAACAGTTTGAAAGTGACATAAAGTGAAAACTTGCTATTCTGTGGTGGGAACCGAGATTATTTTAGATTTAATGTTTTGTTTTGGGAGTATTAAGAGTTGTAAAAACAACAAGTGAGTCTTACGCCTCATATCCAGTGTAACAACTGACATCTCACCTACCAATTAACGGCCAACTCAAATAGCGGCACTTCACGGGCTTCCTGTTACAGAATTCCGTCCCTATTCATGTAATAACTGAAATAAAACATTTCACTGAAACTGAATGGAATAAAATATATATTTTATTTATATGGACTACACTGGAAGCACGTAAACTTACATATTTAAATATCTGCACATAGCAATGTATTATCATATTTGTTAAATATAATTATGTTTTATTTTTTACCAATTAAAATACGTTTTCATACGTAACACGGCAATCGACAGGTCGTTCTCAATATTATAATAATAATAATATATCTACCGAATACAATTAAAGCTACTGTATTGCATAAAAGTGTAGTTTGGATTTTTACACACATTTCTTAATTACTAAATGGCATTTTTAATCCGATTCTTTTCATTTCAACTTATTTGCTACTCTAGGAATTATTCGAACATTAGTTTTGCTGATGTGTGAAAAAGATTATAATAACAATATTCTCTCTTTTTTACACTCTATATATAAGAAAGAGATGAAGTAGGGAAATAAATATTATTTATGATAAATTGGCTTCAATTTTATTTTATTTCAAAATATATCCATGCCGAATTCCATTTACGTCTGGATCGTACAAAAATACCAATAATTGATAGATGCATATTTTCGTTTTTTCATCTTTTCCCTTTAGTCATATACTCCTGAACCTTCGCCTGGAACTCTGTTTTGTTCTTGTTGTACAACTCAGCTGCTTCAATGTTGAGTGGGTCCTCAAAATTTAACAGATCCTGGAAACGACAATTTGGGATCAGACATCAGTACCAAAGTATTGAAAAGGTGAATGGTGAATGAATCTTAATTATTTTTTCCGTTACGAGTTTTCAGAATTAGTTAGGTTTTAGAATCTCAAAATTACTTCAAATTCAAACAGTAATACGAAAAAATCTTTAACCGCAGGTAGACGATTTAAATACCTGTGAATATTTTGAAAATTACGTCTGCAAAGAAAACACTAGAATGTACCCTCAAATAGAGGGAAAAGCATTGGTACAATTGCACCTTTGCGAATCCTGCTAAAAAAAATGTCTAGTGTAGTACGATTAGCCTAAGATTATTGAATTCGAATGTTAGAAGTGATAGCTCAAATAGCTTGCGAAATATAGGCTGTCAGAGCCGTAACGATCTAAATACCTATCCACTTTTTATTTCTTTATCATACAGTACATTATTGCAGTAAAATAAAAAGAACTGTTCAAAAACAACAAACGTTTTTGTCTTCGAGGTCTTTGACCTAACTTCTGTTTAACACGTCTAAGTGTCTGTTGTATGATAATTCGAAACAATTCCCACAATTACTGAAGTAAGTGCAAGTTCACCCATAGCAGTGTTGTATCACTTCTGCGTAGGCGCAGTGTGGGCATGGCAGATCGAAGCGTTGTAAACCGTTTTCTGTTTTAAATTCGACGGGAAATGAAGTATTTTTCTTAAAACATAAATATAACCCTAGTCCTAATTATAGATGGGACAAAATGAATGAACGGTGATTTATCGTTCGATTTTTTCGTACGTAGGTTAGGGTTACTACTTATTCCCGCGTTGTTGCCAAAGCTGTTTGACGATGCATAAAGGCTCTATTTCGCCTATTAAACAGAAAATCTAGTATTTTTTTATTATTTATATATGTAGGTACCATTCCGTACATAATAATTAAAAATTTACTATATTTACCGTTAAATAGCATCTAACCTATAGATAGTTCAACTCAGTTGTGCGCGCGGCCCTATGTGTGCGTGGGCTTGTAAATATACAACTTTCATTCGTGTGGCAGTGACGCGGTGCTCGGACGACGACTGCCGCGTCACTGCCACACGCACATAGGGCACACATAGGGCCGCGCGCACAACTGAGTTGAACTATCTATACCTACGTAACAACCCTAACCTACGTACGCAAAAATCGAATGATAAATCACAGTTCACTGTGATTTTGTTCCATGTTTAGTCCTAATACATATTTTGTCGAGTGTGAGTCACTCAGCCACTTAATCGGTAGGGACATGCGCGATCGATGTGACGTGCCCTTTTTTTGTTAGAATCCATTAGGATCGTCTGTTCCTCGGGGACTCAGCCTAATCGAAAAACGCTTTACCGATTACAAGTCATAGTATACCCCTTCGGTGTACGTAACAGGCTTCCCACCTACTACATATCCCTTGGGGGAGGAAGACGTATATTTTATGTATGTATACTACCGTTATTTTAGCCTTTTTGCACTAAATCACTAATCGTGAATTGCTAATCGCTAATGGCGGGTATGTACTTAAATGTTGTGAATATGCGAGAGTGCACTTTTTACGTTGATTCCCATTGATCAGTAGCTCAGGCAACGTCGCTTAGAAGATTATTAACACACTTACAATATCCGTTCTATGACTCGACATCACACCTAATGCTGGTGCATTAACAAAAAAAATACACGATTTATTGTATTTAATATTTTTCCTATCTATAATTATTGTTAAACTATTAAAGTACACACGGTAAACGTTATTCCTGAAGGTCAATACTCGTAATAAAAAATCGTTCAAAATTCAGTTCCGAGCTACTCTCGATCTCACATATGTCATAAGAGGTATTCTCATAGTAAAGTAGTGAAATATAACTAACAGAATACCGATTCAACTTTCGGGCACAATACGATATAAGCACGTTACATTCAACGTTTTATGTTTAATACTTAACAAAATGTTTGTATGATCTGCAAATACTTGTTTCGGAGTTTGGGTGTTTTTTTTTAAATCTAGTTTTCATAGTACAAGCTCTGCTTAGTTTGAAATTACAGATGTACGAAATATAGTAAATATTTACTATAAGAATACCTATTATGACATTCGGCAGATCCAGATTACAACGAAACTGAATTTTGAACAAACTTTTATTACGAGAATTGACCTTCTGGTCAGTACAGTAATAAAAATTATCTGCGATTTTAATGAACTTAAGAAATTGAAACTAATAACGCAGAATAGTTTTGAACTAACATAAATTTGCAAACTAGTGAACAAACGAATTATTTATTGTTCCCACATACTTTAATGTAAAATAATACACTTAACGGAATAACACACACATTTAAACCTGACCAGGTATTATAGGTTAGGTACGGTTAGAAGAGTGAATTAAGTTGTTTTTGTTATAAGAAAGTACTTACAGTAAATAAAGAATTTAGTCCCCATACAACATCTTTCAGTCTCCGAGTAGGTGCCCATCCATGTTCATCTATTGAGGTCTGCCGCAACAGTGATAGACATACATCACCATCTACATTAATATTAGGATGCCATAATCTAGTTAGACACTTCACTCTGGGTGGCTGAAAAGATATAAAGATGTGTTCAATATAAATAACACAATATGCATGAGTGAAACAGGGGGCTGAGTTCAAGTTTATTTCACATCGACTCGCTCTCGACGGCGAGCGCGAGATTTTAGTGCAAATCAAATCAAATCATTTATTTGTGATACGTGGGTTACATACAGGTGTTCATGTGCGGGCCAATCGTAGCGTCGAAAGCCAAAAGATCTCCGACCGGCTCAATCCCTTGGCGTTACAGAGAGATGTAACTTCACTCTGCATTCATTCTCCATCGTTATATTATGGAGAGTGCTCCGATGAATTGTTCGGTCTAATACCGTCCGCAACGTTCCGTCATCGTTCCACACGGCAAAATTTTCATCATGGGGATGAACACCTGGATAATTGCCTTAAAGCTTTCAAGAAAAGAGCGTAACGCTTTCTCAAAGGCCGGCAACGTACTTGTGACTCCTGGTAGTCATGGGCAGCGGTAGTCACTTTTCATCAGGTGACCCGTCTGCTCGTATGAGAATACGGAGTTTTTTTTAGGGTTCCGTACCTCAAAAGGTAAAAAAGGAACCCTTATAAGATCACTTTCTTTTCCGTCTGTCCGTGTGTCACCACCGATTTTCTCAGGAACGGGTAGACCAAGCAAGTTGAAATTTATACCAGATACTGAGGTCTATGGTCCCTATTAGGTGTATAAAAATCAAGGTCCTGAGTCAACACGATAAAAAGATATGGGCAAATTTCGATTTTCGCGAAAACTTGTAAGTACCAAAATCTACCTTAATTTTCAACTTTTTATTTTTCAAAATTTTCTCTTTAATTGTACTGTATGACCTTGCTTTTAACCAAAATTGACAATTCTAGGTCAACCGGAAGGATAGGTTTTGGGTCGAAAACCGTTCCCGTTCCCGTTGGCCTAGCATCCCGAAATTTGGCAAAAAAGATATAATTTCTGACCTCTTTACTGAAAAAGCAACACTACTCCTGTCAACAGGCATCTGTCAGTTGACTCCTGTCAAAATTTGAACTTGCTGCGTCAGCTAGTTTGTGTTTGACAGCTATCTTTATCAGACTAAACAGTAATTTGAGGAAAAATGGAAAAAAGTGAATTTAGTGTGCTTATTAAGCATTATTTTTTGCGAAAAAAAACATTACCGAGACCAAGGCTAAGCTTGATAAATACTATGGGGACTCTGCACCATCGATTTCAATGGTAAAAAAGTGGTTTACTGAATTTCGTTGTGGCCGTACAAGCACTGAAGATGCCGAACGTCCTGGACGCCCAGTTGAGGTCTCTTCACCCGAAACAATCGAAAAAATTCACGATATGGTGTTGGCCGACCGAAGATTGAAAGTGCAAGAGATTGTGGAAACCGTAGGGATCTCGCATGGCTCAGTGGTTTCAATTTTGAATGATCACTTGGGCATGAGAAAGCTTTCCGCAAGATGGGTGCCGCGATTGCTCACAGTCGACCACAAACGCAATCGTGTAACAACTTCACAGGAAGGTTTGGCGTTGTTTAATCGCAATATGGAGGAGTTTTTGCGCCGTTTTGTAACCGTGGACGAAAAATGGATCCATCACAACACACCAGAGACCAAACAACAGTCAAAAAGTGGGTTTCTAAGGGTGAATCGGCGCCAAAGAAGGCCAAGGTGGGTTTGTCAGTTAATATTGTCAGTCACATTGACTGCCTTCAAAAGGGAAGAACAATCAATGGGGAATATTATGCCAACTTATTGGACCGATTCAATGACGATTTGAATAAAAACCGACCACATGTGGCCAAGAAACAAGTTCTTTTCCACCAAGACAATGCAAGGGTGCACAAATGTGCAGTTGCCAAGGCAAAAATCCATGAATTGGGCTATGAATTGCTCCCTCATCCGCCCTATTCTCCAGATTTGGCTCCGATTGACTACTTCTTGTTCCCAAACCTGAAGAAATGGCTTGGTGGAAAAAGATTTGACTCCAATGATGAAGTCATCTCGCAAACAAAGGCCTATTTTGAGGACCTCGACAAATTATATTTTTTGGAAGGGATAAAAAAATTGGAGAAGCGTTGGACAAAGTGTATAGAACTCAAGGGAGACTACGTTGAAAAATAAAATGATTTATTTATCAAAAAATCTGTTTTATTCCAAAAGTCACGGACTTATTGACCCGCCCTCGTAAATTTTGGTACTTCCAAATTTTTGCGAAAATCTTAGTAAAATCTGGGTAGGTACGGAACTCTCCGCGCACGAGTTCGACTCGTACCAGACCGGGTTTTTTTGTTTTGGGAAGAGGGTCTCAAAAAGAAAACTCCGTATTCTTCTTATCCGTCACCAGACTGACTTCCTGTCCGAAGCTAACCCTCCTTGTCCTTACAGTACCTGTTTTCAGAAGGGAAATAAGAAGATAGGAAATTGGGGTAGAAAAAATGGATACATCATAGGCTCTAGGGGAGAGAATATTGCAGGTCTGGGATAAGAATGACTGAAATTGCTGCTGCTCAAGCTGTTGCCTGTAGATATTTTAAACTCCTTTAATTTACTTCTAAAGATTTTTTGTGCGAGATCTAAGCTCAAGTTTTCAGGTTTAACTTTTCCATGGACTTCCTGAGTGTCATAATTCGATGAGAGTCCATGGAAAAGTTGAAGAACATATGGATGTTCGTCGGTCACTGCTGTTGATTCTGGTGTACAGCAGTTACAGTAGTCGGTGTGCAGAAGTAGGCATAATTGCAAAAAACTTTGTGGATGTAGTGACCAGGGACTTCAACAAGTATATTGTATGACATGTAAACGACTTTCATAAGCACTGTTGTGATGTTCCATAAAAAAAATTTGCTTTTAAAATTCTACCACATAACTAAATGATTTTTTCTTTATGTGGCACAAAAATGGAAGGTTGCCTTGTGCAACAACATTGCCATGTTAACAGGTATTTCTACTAATACATAATTCACATAATTATTTACCACCAAAGGCAGAAACTGTCGTGTGGTGGAGGATTAAGAATACGGACTGCCACCATATATTCATATTCATCCCGTGGGTTTCGTAAAAGTCACTAAGGGAGCAAACTTTGCAGGACAACAGTGCTGCAAAAAGAAAGCAAACTTGAAACAAACCAAAAATAAGCAGATACCTAGGAATATCAGTCATTATCAGTAACAGCTTTTAGTAGTCCACTTCTGGACATTAGCCTCTCCTTAGAAAGGAGGTTTTGGCCTACTATACCACACTGGTCAGACTAATGGTATAGGCTTTGTTTCAAGCTTTCCGTCTCTTTGCAGTGCTGTTGTCCTGCATAGTTTGCTACCCTAGTCGGCTCTTACAGCACCCAAGGGATGAACAGGGGTGGAGATACTCCGTATTCTTAATTCATCTCCACACTGTTTAAGAAAAAAATATAAATATCATAGGTTTTTTTAGGATCACTCCAAATACAGTTTAATGGCTATATAGCAAAGCTATACAATGTACTGTTTTAAATACAATTTTACTAAATAAGCTGTGCAGATAAGTTTTAAACTCGATAGACTTAGATAAAAAAATATATATATATATATTTAGTAGATGCAATCCTATTAATTTGATATTTCAATCAGATGGTAACAATAATCTTTAAGCATCGGATGATCAAAATCTATAGAATTATGAGCATATCATGATAATATAAAAATTACTGCAAATCAGTGTACACCCCATTTATTTACTTAGTCGAAAAAGGGCATAAAAGTCAATAAAGACATCAAACTATAAAACAAATGAAGTTTCTATGTACTTACTGCCATATTATACTCTTCAGTTACAAAAACACTGAATTTAAACTTTCCTCCAACCCAATAACCTTCATCTGGTGTAACAGTCAATATAAACTCATTTAACACATTTGGGTCCTCAAAATGGACACTACAAGTCATAGGCAGGTTCTCATTCATCTCCTGCACTTCTTTTATCAGGAGCTTATCCCGAATAGATATTCTTTTCACAGGTTCACTAGCCAAGCCATTACTGGGCACTGTATGTTCTTTTTTCAATTTCCTATTAAGCGTAATCATTGTTATGTCTATTTAAAACGCAGTAAGATAAAAACTATAGCATAGCTCTGATAAAAATAAATTAGAAATACAACTTTTCGCAATAATAGCAAATTTTGTTTGCGCTGCTATTGTCAGTCAGACTTTGACAGTAATCGTTTTAACGCAGTGTTGCCAAATTTAAACAGCAGAAATCAAAAGCGTTCCTTTAATAACAGTAGAAAAGCTTGGCTTAACATATCGTATTTCAAGAATTTATACATTATCTTTTCATGACCATCAATAAAACTCATTTAATAGAAGTAAAATTTTACAACAAGACTGGGTATACTCATCCCTAAACATTATTGGAACGTCTAAAAAGCTCTAAGGGTAAGAGGTTGGAGGATAAAAATAATAACAACGGCAATATACCTACACTCAATTATACCCATTATACCCACAGCCTTACCTTTTTATACAAGACAAGTGTCAAGACACATGTCAAAGTCAGTAGGCACAATCAGCTGCTCTTTATTTCGTCATCGTATTGTAATTAATTACAAATTAGTTAATTTGCTTCTCAATATTCTCTAGTGAATCGATATGGCAGAAATCACGTGGCCTTGGCAGTATAACTTTCCTCCCTTCTTTACGTAAGTAAAATTTAATATCTTTGACACTAAAATTCTCACGTTATGTTCATTTGGTAAACATGAAGCTGTTGGGTAAATCCTGGAAATATATCAGCGAGGGAAACGTTCACATCGTTTTACAACTGGAAGACACCAATTATGTTCTACGTCTTATTAAAGAAGATGGAAAACCGGTTGATAAGGAACATATAAAAGAATCTTTAAACTTCGTCAATTTAGTTATGGTACCGCTTTTAGAAAACTACAACTATGGTGTCGGGGAGATGATAGAATTACCCCTTAACAATTTAACGGAATTATCCAGAAATCTGCGAGAGTTTCGCCCAAAAGTACGCTTAAATAAGACTACAATAAGTCAGTATGCCATCAAGACTACTAATCTGGCTATTGTTAGTTCTAAGTGTAAGTCTCCTGCATACTGTGTAGAAATTAAACCTAAAGAAGGTTTTATATCACCTAGTCTAAGGATGCATTCTAGATGTTATTACTGTCTAAAACAGTATTTAAAAGTTCATAATGAGGATGTAAAAAAAACCAGCTCATATTGTCCTTTGGATTTGTTTTCCGGAAATAGAAAAAGAATGAAGTATTCCATACAATGTTTGTTATTAAATCCACAAAATAATATAAAATTATTTAAAAATGGAATTATGTTGTATCATGATAAGTTAAAAGAAGAATTGGATGAAAGTATCAAATTAAATACACCTTTTAATAGCTCAAGCTTATTAGCAGACTTTATTGTTGAAGTTTTACTTCATGAAAAGAGTTCTGCGTCTGATAGTATTATTAAGGAATCAGAAATTAAATCCCATACAATATCAAAAGAGAGCACAATTGTTTGTGATGAAAGTAGCAATTTACCTGATTGCCTTCTTGCCCGTATACTGCATCTCCAAAAACTAGCAACAACATACATGGATAGTAGTTTTGATGTCACTGAACACCCTTATGATTATGTAAGGAAGGTACTAGATCAACTAAAGGCATTAGAATTGGATTTGAAGGACCAAAAAGATAAAGATCTATTCCTGAACACTTTGAGACCAGTATACTTGTCTTTGATATCTGCTGTAGCAAAAGACTGTTCAGTAATGATTAGTTTTACAACAGAATATGTTGCGGGAATGCCATATATTGATGTGCAAGACAGCAGTGAAGCAATTACAAGGTTATATTACAGAATGGCTATAACCGATCTTGACCCTAAACCCATTACAACACTGTTGAAACGAAAGTGTATGGAAAAGAAAATAGTAGAAATGTATATAAAACATCTTCAGTCTTTTAATAATAAATCAGAGTGTAAGTATTACTAAATTATAGTGATAACAATAATAAAGCACCCTTCAATTAATGTCCAATGAATTAAAGTCTAATCTATTTAAAGCTACTCGAGTCCAAAGTTCTTCCACCACATTGAGTAAATGCTATCCTGTGTGAAAATTAATACTACCTAATACTAAATTGAGTACCTAATAAAAATACTTGTTTTTTTAACTTTACGCTTTGACACTGTCCTTATTTTAAATGTCATTTTCCTATTTTTCAGGTATGCAAAATACACCCTCTCCCACTTAAATATAATACAAATCCGCTTTGAAACTTGTCAGCATCAAGACACTCTCACTAACATTGTCAACCTTATTACTAATAATAATAAAGATGTTGTTTGTTGTAGAATCCAACCGCATTCAGAAACTAGAGCTAAGCAACTAGAAGCATGGGAAACACTGATAATAGACTATTTAAAAGCAAGTAAACAGTCGACAATAGATATAAGAGAATCACAAAACACTCCTTTATTCAACAATGCCGCAATTGAAAGAAAATTATCCCAAGAGGCTGTGTTGACAATATTAGAGGATATGGCAAAGACGGGCAAAGCTGCCCCTGTAGATAAAAGTAAAAATGTATGGGAAATATACTGGCATTCGTTGGATGAGTGGGGCAATATGATATATAACTGGGCATGCAATAACGGAATGAATAATTCTGTGTGTACGTTATTTGAGTTGAGAGAAGGAGATAACACTGCAGATCAAGGTGTGTTTTGTTTAAATATTAAAAATCTTAAAACAATATTTAAATATTAATGTTTATCACTATGCTAGACTTCACTGAAAATTATTTTATTTTACACACTTTTTATTAGCTTCGGTTTTACTTTTTATTTTACACGCTTTTTATTAGGAAACGGTTTACGCGTCAAACAGGTTAAACGTCAACTAGTGAGCTCAGCTTAAATTCAATCTAAAAAGTCGTAATAAATATCCCTACCAAAGTGAATTAGTGCATAAAACATGAAAAAGTGTTCATAAAGTGAAAATAATAACAAATCACAGCTAGATCACTCCACTTTGTAGTGAAAAACATCAAATCAGTGCAACATAACCTAAAATTTCGGTGCCAACCTAACAGACTAAAAAAAAAGGAAACGTCAGGATCAAGAACTGACTAGTGTTGCCAGTATACAAACGAAATTCCTACAGATTGAGTTGCGTTCGAAAACGTCAACTTACGTTACACTCAGATACAAATCACCTCACATTTAAAACATGGATATGAAATTACTGTTAGACAAACTCGACGAAAAACTGAACCAACAAACCCAAACCTTAACAAAAAATGTTACGAAAAGTGTTATGGATGCAATAGACGAAAAAATTAATCATCTTCTCGAAGAAAACTCCTTATTAAAAACTCGCGTCGACTACTTGGAGGTTAAAGTGCAGTCTTTGGAACGTGAAAAACGCGAGAAGAATATTGTATTGTATGGATTGCAAGAGAAGGAAGGGGGTGAATGTGAATTAGTGCAAAACATCAAAGAGTTAATGGAAGATGCAGGAGTGAACTTAGAATGTCATGAAATCACTCTTGCTTACCGACTAGGAAAGAAGGGCAATAAAACGCGCCCCGTCCTAGCTCAACTTAATTCTAAATGGAAGAAGCAAATAATTTTTAAAAATAAAAAACACCTACCCACTAATGTGTATGTCAGTGAAGATTATCCCAAAGACGTCCAAGAGAAAAGAAAGCAACTTATGCCCAAATTGGAGGAAGAAAGGAAAAAGGGCAACATAGCTTTCATTAAATATGACAAACTAGTGGTAAAAGAAAACAAAAGCAAAGAAAAGAGGAAAAGGGACTCTGATTCAACCTCACCAGGTGTGCAACCACGCAAACAGCAAACAACTAGTAAAACCAAAGAGGGACGAGTCAAAGTTTACAACATGTCGAGATCAAGATTTAACTCTTGTTCTACTCAAGATTTGAGTCCAAAAAACTAAACAACCGGAAGCCCTTCCCCAATACGCCTGGTCAGCGCGGGGATGAAGACCACCACCCTCCAGCTAAAATAAAAAATAATAAAAAATTTAAAGCAAATCAAAACTCCAAAAGAGTACAAGACGACCATCCTAAATCCAAAAGATGCGAAGTATTTTATATTGCAACCCTCAACACGAGAACCCTCAGAACACCCGAAAGTCTATTAGAATTAGAAAAGTCGTTAAACGACGTAAAATATGACATTCTTGGCGTAAGCGAAATGCGGAGATTGGGTGAAAAAATTGAAGAACGTAGTAACTACATATTGTATCACAAAGGTGAAATTGCAGGCCATAGGGGAGTAGGATTTCTAATTAAACAGTCACTTAAGAAGGACATACAAGAACTTACAGGAGTATCAGATAGATTAGCGATATTGAACATAAAAATCCCAGGATACAGAAAACCATGGTCCATCATCCAAGCATATGCACCAACAGAGCAAGCAGAACCAACAGTACTCGAAGCATTCTATTATGAGTTGTCAATGGCCATAAAAAATAATGCGGATAAACATATAGTCCTAATGGGCGACTTCAATGCACAAGTCGGAGAAAGGAAAAACAATAACGAATATGTACTTGGCAAGTTCGGGCACGGTAAGAGAAGTCGAAACGGCCAAAAGCTGGTTGAATTCTTAATGGAACACAATCTATTCATCCTCAATACGAACTTTAAGAAGCACCACAACAATAAATGGACTTGGGTATCCCCAGATGGTACATATAAAAATGAAATTGATTACATAATAAGCAATCACCCTAAAGCGTTTACAGATACTACGGTTATTAGCAAACTTAATTTTAACACAAATCACCGAATGGTGAGATGTTCCCTTAGAAAGTGTCGAACAAAAACCCCTCGCAGCCACATAAAAAGCCATAAAAACGAAAAGCAAGCACAACTCAACTTAGAAAACACAAAGCCTCTCAAGAAAGTAAATGAACAAATCACAAATAATAATATGAACACAATTCAGAAATATAACATCCTAGAAAGGGAACTACAAAGCAGTTTCTCTAAAGAAAACAGTCCTAAAAACAAATATCAACTAAGCGCACAGACAGTGCAATTAATCAACGAAAGAAAAGAACTAATCCAAAAAGGAACAAAAAAAGACAACATAATACTTATCACTGATATTAGTAAAAAAATAAGAGAAAACATAAGAAAGGATCGTAAAGTCAAGAGATTGATGACTCTAGAATACCACATTAAAAAGACGGGAGGTGTGAAGAAAGCTTTGAAGGAATTGCGAGAATCTGGCAAAGAGTGGATACCTAAAATAAAAAGAAAGACCAACAACGTCACCTCGATACGCCAAGATATCAAAGATCGAGCCACAAGCTTCTATCGACAACTGTATACTAAACAAGAAGAGGATGCATCAAATGATCACAACGAGACCAAAATACCATATGAATCGAATTTTGACCCTACACCTGAAATTCTAACATGCGAAGTCGAAAAGGCAATCAATAGCCAAAAGATGGATAAATCTCCTGGCCCAGACAAAATAACGAATGAACTGTTGAAAGGAACTATAGAAGAATTGGTGCCCATTCTTACAAGAATCTTTAACGACATTCTACTAACTGGCAATATTCCTAGGCAATGGTCAGAATCTCATATCATCTTATTACATAAGAAAGGAGACAAAGAAGACATAGAAAACTATAGACCTATTTGTCTGACATCCAATGTATACAAAGTCTTCTCAAAGATAATACTAGACAGAATCAGCCTTAAATTAGACGAACAACAACCAGTCGAGCAGGCAGGATTTAGAAAGGGATTTTCAACCATTGACCATATACATACTGTTAAACAAATACTTGAGAAATACAACGAGTACAATAAGGATATATTCATAGCCTTTATAGACTACGCCAAGGCCTTTGATAGCTTGAGTCATGAGTATATTTGGGAAAGCCTAGAACACCAAGGAATACCAACCATATATATCAAAATAATAAAATGCATATACTCCAATATCAAAGCTAGGATTCGGCTAGAGACATTGGGAGGTGAATTTCAAATACAAAGAGGTGTGAGACAAGGGGACCCACTTTCCCCAAAATTGTTTTCCGCAGTACTGGAAAATTTATTCCGTAAACTAAACTGGGAAGAATATGGCATTAGTATAAACGGAGCTAGAATGCACCATCTAAGATTCGCCGACGACCTAGTGCTACTAGAAGAATGCCCCAAAAAGCTAGAATATATGATACAAAATCTAAGAGAAGAAAGTATAAAAGTCGGACTAAAATTGAACACTACTAAGACAAAATTAATGACAAACTCCCGAAAAACCAACATCAGCATTAATAACGAACTATTGGAGTATGTGGAAGATTATACTTATTTGGGTCAAGTCATCTCAACCAAAGATCAAATGACAAAAGAAATCAACTTCAGGATCGCTACTGGATGGAGGAAATACTGGTCGCTCAAGGAAATAATGAAGTCAAAGGACCTGAGCATGTCACTGAAGAGAAAGACCTTCAACTCATGTATCCTACCATGCTTAACATACGGCTGCGAAACATGGGCCCTTACTAAAATATTAAGGGAAAAGCTTGCCATAGCCCAAAGAGCAATGGAAAGGAGCATGACAGGATGTAAACGACAGGATAAAGTGAGAAATATGGACCTGCGTCTAAAAACTAAACTCACCGACGTATTGAATCGAATCGATCAGCAGAAATGGAGATGGGTAGGTCACATGATGCGGGAAAATAAAGGGAAATGGAGCAAAGCTGTTACAGAATGGTACCCAAGGGATGGACGCAGAAGCCGGGGAAGGCAAAACATAAGATGGGAAGATGAGATCAGGTTGACAGTGGGACCATTGTGGAGAAGGGTTGCTCAGGACAGACAACAATGGAAATCGTTGGAGGAGGCCTATGCCAAAAGGCACACCGAATTAAGAGACATAGTGTAACTAAAATCATGTAACATAAAAATGAACCTGTGTAATCTCTTACTTTGGTATAAGGGGCTATATATATATATTAGCTTCACCTGTATGTTTGTTTGTAACCGACTCCTTTGGGCGTGATTTTGACTGACTTTAAACGGTCAGAATTCGTTCAAACTTTGTAGATATATCGAGGACCGGTAACAATACCATACACTAATTTAAAATAAAAAATAATTATATAAAAAAAAACTAAAAAACACGTTTAATAAATTTGAAAAAAAAGCGTGGGGTGCTTTTTACTATTGATAACATACACCCAACGCTTTTTTTTTTCAAATTTATTAAAATTTATTTTCTAATTTTTAGTTTGGTTTTCTATAAAAAGCGTGTTTTTTAGTTTTTTTAAACCATTATTATTTGAGGCATCATATGGGGTTATCCACTTGGTCCTACTCTACTCTAATAAGATATCAGTGTTGCAATATTGAGAAACATGCAGTTACGATTATTAAAATTGAACAGCGACCTATACCAAATTTCACTTTGATGGCAATCTTTTTTTTAGAATTAAAATAAAAAAAAACCTAATTATTATAATTACCTGTAATAATATTACCAGTCTGGCAATATTGTGTCCGGTTATATTATTATGGTAGATTTATACCATAATACTACCAGGAGACCTATTTCTTACCGTTACATGAATTCACCGTGCGGGTGGCAGGTCCATCGCGTGATAGAGGTTTAACCGAATAATGAACAATGATATAATAATATATCTCACACATCTCACACAGAGCTGTCTGATCCCAAACTAGGCAGAGCCTGTACTATGGTAACCAGGCTGCTGATAAACATACACATATTTTTTTAAATAGATACATATAATAGATAAATTGACCCAGACACAGAACAAATGACCGTGCTCATGACACAATATTTGTCCTGGGTGGGAATCGAACCCACGACCTCCAGTTTAGCAGTCAGGGTCACTAACCACTAGACCAACAGGCCCGTCGAATGATAATGCCAGAAATAATATTAACTAGCCCTGACTCTAGCTGAATTTACAATAACGTCTCAAAATACATAACAACAAATCATAAAAGTTGTGATTTAACTTCATCTAGTACTGGCAGACATTTTTCAAAAACTTTTTTTTTTACAGAATTCCATGGTTTGGATATGAATGTACTTGTGAAGGCTTTAAAAAGATTAGAACTCAAAAGCAGATGTGAGTTAATGGAATTCGACGACAGTCAAGGTGTTAAGTTTTTCTGAGAATCTGTGAGATTGTTGACTCTTTTTCTGATGCAATTACAATAAGTACACATTTTTAATAAAAAAAAACCACTATAATGCATTTTATTAAGTTTTAAGTATTTTTATTGTTCAATATATTTAATTCATATATTTAACTAATTTGTTTTAATTATAATCGGTTCACAACACCAAGTCTCTCTGGCGCACTGAACACAATCTTTGGCCGAACTTCCGCTACCATTGACTACGCCAAAGCATCCAAACCCATCATCATCTGCCTACCCAGACCCCAAATTTATTTGAGGTCGGCGCAGTAAGTATGAGTCTTCCATTCTATCATTCGTCATTTCACTGTTTACTCCCTTCCTAGCCATATCCTCACTTACACAGTCCATCCACCTTTTCTTTGGTTTTCCTCTTCTCTTGTACCTACTCTTTAACTTACATACCTAATACTTTCTTCGACCCTTCGACCATCTAACCCCATCACTTGGACAATTGGCACTCCACTGTGCGGTTTTCAATAAAGTTTTTACCTCGCACAATCAATCTGTGGAACAAATTTCAGACCGATATGGATTTCAAATCTTTAAAAAAGAGCGTGGCCCACCTCAAAGACCGGCTTTTGTGACGAGATAGTCAGTTACCATCAGATGACCCGTCTGCTTGTTTGCCTCCTACATAGTAAAAAATGAAGAACCAATGGCGACCTCTGTAGCCCGATATTACAGTCAACTGCCGCGACGAGAGTCGTGGATTCGATCTCGCTCTATTTGTATGCATGAACTTGTCTATTTCTATTGTGTTATCCGTGCGGTGACGGATTAAGAATACGGAATGTCACCACCCCTATTCATCCCGTGGGTGTCGTAAGAGCCGACTAAGGGAACAAACTACGCAGGACAACAGCAATACAAAGAGAAGGAAAACTTGCAACAAACCCTATACCAACCCGTCTGGCTAGCGTGGTATAATAAGCCAAAACCTACTTCCTAAGGAGAGGCCAATGTCCAGCAGTGAACAAATTAGGGCTGTAGATGATGATGTATTGCTCTGAGTGTTTATACATTTGATGATCATTCAGCCTATTGAAGTCTGTTGTTGGCTTATGCTTGGAAATGCTGGGGTAACTTTGAGCCTCTCTGATGTAACCATACTTTTCTATCTCTTTTCAATTGAAAAATAAATGTCCCATTCTGTTATCTTCAGTCTTTTCTGTGCTAAATTATCTGCAGTGATCACGCAGAATACTGTTCGAGAATAACTCGGTTTACATTTTTTTAAATAAGTGAGCCATAAACCGCCGTACGACGAAGCGCTTATGCCAAAGACAGATGGAATCAAACCACGCAGCATCTCGGACAATCCTTGAAAGTCCTTACCAAGATGAAACAATTGTTTGATTCCATCCAAATCAAACAATTGTTTGGTTGATTATTTTTATTTCAATCAATCTGTGTAAAATTGTACAATTTCAAAATTGATCATCTTATTCAATAACTACATTATATGTATATTACAAATTACATTACAAAACATGTAAAAATTTACAAATTGTGTTTATAAAATCTACAACCTATTGTTAAGATATTACAACAGATAGATGTCGCCTGGCGTAGGTAGTTGGGGACACATTTAGCCAAGTATGAAATTCATAGATATATAACCATAGAGAGAACTCGGGGTACGGCTGTCTGTAAGTGACAGAGATACACGCAACAAAACAGATGAATGCCCGATAGTTTCCTATGTCTATGTTTAGCTAAGATACGATTGGCTACTTATTAACCATTAATATTCCTCAGCCAACCTCACAGCTCGGCTAGAAAGAGATAGAGGGGACTAACTATTATCCATCTCTCTCGTTGCCTATATTCCAAGATTGGGGCTCTTGTTCCCTCTATGTAATATCTCTATGATAAATTTACTAATTAGTGAAACGAATATCATTTTCCAGGCTCGTTTCGCACAAAATGCGAAAAATAAAATGTTCCGGGTATTACCGTATAAATTTATGTATAGATTTTAAATTTCGAACACTTCTGTAGTTGCAGTATGTTAGTTAGATTCTTCTTAAATATTATTCCAAATTAAAATTGACAGTTGCGGTAGCAGAAAAACAATGAATCGAAGAATGTGTTTGATAATTTTCAAACTTAGGTCCTACGCCGAGGCTTACATTAAGAGTTATAACACGTTATTTAAGAAATTCCACCAAAATCTGATTACCTTTTACGCTCATACTCTCTTATTATCCGAAATAATTGGTTTTAGTTTAACCTAACAGCTCTCTGTGGCCCTCAACTCAAAGAGCTAACGATATCTACTTGTTAGACTAGTTTGATAGAATAAATTAGTGTACTTACTATTTAATATACATAATAATTATAAATGTATTATAGAAAAAGGAATTATTTTCTAGGACTAAAACATTATAAATGTGGAATAGTTAGGAAGCTTTTTACAGTATGTTATAATTCGGCGTATTTCCAAGTAAGTGGTTTATTGTTTGTCTTTGGAATTCTCAATTTACAGTACTGTCTATGCGTGCTATCTATGAGTGTCTTTGAGTTCTTGAAAAACCGATGAAAATTCTCAGAATACATTTTAGAAACACACTTACTTCTTACACATAGGATGAAATTAACATTCACACAAATGTTTGCATTTAACATAATTTAAACCCGACTTCTGTTTAAATTTCTTATAAAGTTTTAGTCCTTTCACACATTATTTACTCTAAATATTTAACTAAATATTACTATAATGTCTATTAAACAATCAGTCTTCAACCAAAATACACTTTTAACAATTATTGAAAATGAAATATTAACGAATAAGTGAAATATATGTACACGCATCCCTTAGTAACCGTACTAGTATAGAACTAAGAAATTGTGCTTCTCCCGTTGTACTTTTTAATAAATACACGCTATACAAGTCCTACGAGTCCTAATATGCATTTTTGGCAACTACTGCACTGTGTGGACACAAATATCCTACGAGTATAAGTACAAACGTAATGTACATCCACTGGCTCTGTGTGTAAATAAACAATATCTGGGTACCATTATTTATTTATAGCTTTATCGGAAATTTTTAAGTTCAATTGTTTTTTTTTTCAAAATAAGATTCTCTGATTAAAAATATCAAAAATATTTCTATAATATGACCTCAACTTTCTGTGACAGCTATATATGGCAACACAAAATTCGACAATGAAACGCGTTTTGTTGTTACCAGTTATCAAAACTCCGTAGGGACGTTTGACGAGACTAAAACTAAGAGAGTTTTTTTTTAATTGTACGTACCTAAATGATGTCCGTGTGGTGACGGATTAAGAATACAGAGTGTCACCACCCCAATACATCCCGTGGGTGTCGTAAGAGCCGACTAAGGGAGAAAACTAAGCAGGACAACAGCACTGCAGAGAGAAGGAAAACTTGAAACAAATCCTATACCAACCCGTCTGGCCAGCGTGGTATAGTAGGCCAAGGCCTCCTTTCTAAGGAGAGGCCTATGTCCAGCAGTGGACTATTAAAGGCTGTTGATGATGATGATGAAATGACAAAATGTTGTGAATATTTATAACGCTGACACATCACATGCCACCGTTATAATAATAAATAAATATTTCAGACACTAAACACACAACGCCATCTAGTTTCAAACTAAACAGAACTTGTTCTATTAAAGCTGGATTGACTGATAGAATACTTTTATACTTTTTTTTTGTAAATACATACATAATATATTATACCTACATAGAAAACACCCAAACTCCGAAACAAACATTTGCAGATCATACCGCAGTCCCCGACGAACACTATGGTAATCGCTATTACGATAGAATCGGGTTTATTAAATATTCGTTATCTACACACCCTATTACTATAATTGAGATTTTTTATGATCGGGCGATGAATACTTTTGGATTCATCGCTTCAATAATGATCTTTATGTTTTTGTTCAACGTATAACATAAGTGAAAAATTTACACGATCAATAACGCAAAAACCTATTACCAAATCTCAAAAGTCAACATTTTAGAGTAAGCGGCTATTACCATATTGAAATGGTTAATTTTGCTGCTTACCTTTCATAACACCTAAAAATGATCATCGAATAAGCATGTAATTTATGTTTACCGTAATATTAAAGTCAGTAATATCATCGAATACGATTGCAATGTCATTTTACGAATAGAAAGTATATTCATATTTACCATGGAACAATATCATAATGAACGATTACTACAGCAACACCGATTTGTGATTACAGTCGAACACTATCGTAAAGTTAGTCTGCGTTAATTTTTTCCATAGCTTATTTCAGTAATGGACATTTTCACAATTTTCTGACTGATAAAGAAAATTTATGATAAAAATTTAGTAAAAATCTAGTGCAAAAAAATATTCCCTATTTTTGATAAAATAATCTTCTTTTTAGTCTTGATAGCATTCAAGATATTCAGTTTTTATTTGCTCCTGTAAAATTGACATTTTCCTATTATGATTTTGTTCGTCGGGGACTGCGATATAAACATTTGGTCCGACCCAGGAATAGAACCCGAGACCTCAGCACAGCAGTCGCATACGCTACCTACTCCACCAACGAGGCAGTCAGTTAAAGTTTATATATAAAAAAAAATAGCATATTATGTCAATGCTGAAGTGATGTTCAACGATTTGATTCATCATCATCATCATCAGCCATATTTAAATTTCGAATTACCACAAACTATACTTCTATAGCTGTTTGATGTTTGACTTGTAGAGAAAATGACTTAGATACTGACAGCTGTCATTATAAGCAGAATATGGTAAAACTACCTGGATTCAGTTATTTATAAAAAGTAAAAGGTCTAGACACTACATTATCTTGTGAGTTGATATGCACTGTATTGTGTAAGTATCTGGGTATTTTATTCAACACAGAATTTATTTTCTAATCAGATACTTATAATGCATTGATCTACTTACGCGTGCCATAAAAAGTTACCATTAAACAAAATCTCAACTAGGTACGTACATATTAAAGATGGCTCTTACAATTATCTACAAACTATTAAATCACAGATATTTTACAACAGAACTATTTAACTTTTTTAAATCTACTCACAAATATATATTACAGACATTAAGAAAACCTATGTACTTATAGTTTAAAAAGTCCTTTTAAGAAAACGGCGGCATCTTCCATCAAAAGCAAGTAAATATGTTCGTCATACAAATTACGAAAAATTCAATTAACAAAACTTCCATAACTGCCCTCAAAAACGTCATAAAAAATGATATTACCTTCGCCTGTTAGTCCTTTATGTCTTTCTGTTGAGTTAGCGTGTATGAAATATCTGCCGTTTCTTATAAAAAAACTTCAAACATCAATATTGTAACTCCTATTATAATTATTATTATTCACAAAACTTTCAATAAAAAATGTAAGTCTTCATTTTGGTTTCTTTTTTAGTTCTAAAACAACTCTAACTTTCGTGTAAACCTTACTAGTGCAACTAACAACTATTTAGTTCTGTCATCACGCGACAGATGGCGTTAGTTTTGAAAAGAGGTTCGTTTTGCTTTTTCTGTTCTCTTATTTCTATACTATTTAAACTGTTTAATGTCTTTTTAATTACATCTATAGCCTCTCGACTGCCCTACCGCTTTAATTAACTAAATAAATTACTTTTACTCAATTTTACAAGTGGTCACTGCATTCGAGTGCTGCATTGCAATAACCATTCGCAGGTCTTTCTAAAGTCCCATTTGTAATGTTTCCGTTGGTCTTCTCAGAACTTAGAACTAGATCCACAGATGGAACTACTGCGTTACCGTTACCATTACCTCCAGGGGGCCTGTAGAACCACCACGCTAAAAAGAAGAACAGAAGAGAACATAGCTTTCCCACCAGCGCTATGGCGAGCATGTACCTGAAACACGATTTGGAATTTATTATACAACTAGATATTTCTAAACTTTTTTAATGAGGCTTGCATTTTAACAAGTGTAATACCTCCTTAAGTTTTTGCTGGAGCTTGTGTTTCATCAGAGTAATCAAAAGTAATGTTAATTAGCAAAGTTTTGAGAGTAATTAGTAGTTCGTATCACATTCACATCAACTACAAACCGTTGTTAACGGATTCCCTTAGGTCTTTTATGGTATAGAATGGCCAACGAACTGACGGGTCACCTGATTGATGGTCAGTTACCGTTCTTTCCACTTGAACCCCCCGCGTGGACCCCTGAGTCTCTATAGATGACCAAGGGGCTCCAAGTGTAATAGTGAGTGTGAGCTTCAAGTGAAAAGAACGGTCAGTGACTACCGCTGCCATGGATAGTTCAGCCCGCCCGAGAATTGAATCTAGGGGTTTCTGCGAGGCTTTGACATCACTCCGGTCAGTCAGCATTTTTTGTGCTGAAGCAAGTCTCTTTCACGCTACAGATATCAAATAAAACTAAGAGTAAATTCAATAGAAGTGTTGGTTTTCACCTGCTCATGTTGTAGTTATCATACTGCAAGCAAGCACCAGTCTTGTCACATGAAGTAGACCAGAGCGAGCAGGACAAGTCGATCAGAAATCCGAAGAGTAGAGGTGCTGGTATAGTGCCCAGCAGGCGCACTTTGATCCACTGGATGCCCAGAGCAAAGGAGCGCTGGTCTTCGCGTACACACCTATTCAGTAAAGAAGTTTTAAGCTTTCACTAAGTTTTTATAACTTTAAGACGGGTTGTGACATTTTAATGTCTGGAGATACACTCGGCTCGAAGTGGTTTTCTCGGCATCGAACCGGCTAAAACCACAAATTCAATCACGCTTGTTTATGGCCTGTTTATCCAGGCCATAAACAAGCGTGCCATAATTGAATTGCCAAGTAATGAACCGCTAAAAAAGTTTAAAGTAATGTTATGGTCGAAAATCGACTACCACACGATCTCTATTTTCTATAAACCTGTAAGTTTTCTACCGGTTTGCTGGATATAAGTAACCTGAAGCTACCTTCCAGATGTTGGGTTCCATATCCAGGCTCAATGGAGACTACGTTCTTTATAAGAACTAACAGAAGATTTCTCCTATATGACAATCGCCGAGCTGGCCAATACCGACGTGCGCAGCGCCCTAGTTTTGCATTCCCAATAATACTTACTTTTGGAGTCCTGACTCATGATCTTGGTGTCGGTTGAAAAGGAGCTCTAGAGCTCATGATGCTAGAGTACTCTTTCAGCTAATAAGAGAGATTATTACATACCATGGTTTGAGACACTTCAGTAATTAATGCTATGTTTACTAACCTCAAAGTAGCTGATAGTGCAGGCATGGTGGCCAGGAACGTGAACAGCATCACACAAAAAGAGAGGGTCACGAATACCCAAAGGTACGGACAGTCTGTGATGCAGATGCTATTGATTGCTTCATATGTGACTGAAGAATTGGTTGCTGGAATTAATTATAAATAATTACTAACAAATAAAGAAAAAAATAAAAAATAAAGAAATTAAAATAGAGGAATCATAAGACTCAAATTGATATGTACAAAAAATGTATTTATTCTGTAAGTAATTCCATTGCAGGGTACAGCTTGATCTCTGTCTACTGGTACCCGAGACGGCATGCGGTTTTTAGTCGGTTCGAGTCCGATATAACTACCCCACCGGTGGGTGGTATCCAAGGGGATTTCCGCACAGAAAAAATAGGGAATGCCATGTTTTCGGCAAAAATGGGCGGCTAGACAGGAATGATGCAATGGTCTGACGGAAAAACCGGTGTTAAGCAATTCTTACGTTGCTTTTTACCAAGTAAGAGGTTACCGAAACCCAAACACCCCTTCTCCTTGATTCTTACTTAAAGAGAGGCAACGCACTTAAGACTGTTGAGTTGCATGAGCGGCGATAGTCACTTACCATCAGGTGCCAAGATTGCCACAAAGAATAAAAAAGAAGACAGGAATATGCTATTGCCAGTCTGCATTGGCCATTACGTAACCATTGCTAACTATTTCTTTGATTATTTGTTCAGATTAACAGGAATTACATTACTTCATTATCATCATCAACAGTCCCCTGCTGGCTATAGTCCTCTCCTTAGGAAGGAGGTTTTGACAGTAGGTCAAAACCTCCTTCCTAAGGAGAGGACTATAGCCGCTATATATACCGCTCTGGCTAGACGGGTTGGTACAGGGTTTGTTTCAAGTTTTCCTTCTGTACGCAGTACTATTATCCTGCGTAGTTTGCTCCCTTAGTCGGCTCTTAAATGGTGACGTTCTTAATCCGTCACCACACGGGCATTACTTACTTCCTTCAATTTGGTATGTTGGCAGCGTGAGATTCTCTTTAGTCATTACACAGGAGCACTGATGGAACAGCTGAGCTGTCCCGGCCAAGGTTCTCTTGGTACAACCGGCGTGACACGCGGAGTAGTACACCGCACCGTCGGCTCCACACACGGGTGAGTATGGAGCGTTGGCACATTCGCAGTCTACGTTGCATAGAGCTGTTAGACGGTCCGCGCTGCAATTATTGAGGCAAGTATATAGAGAATAAGAAGAATAGGCTGTGACGTAACTGACTAATATACTGGTTTCGATTTAAGTATTAATTGTATCTTATCATTATCCGATGACTCTATTATGTATTATATTTCCTTTCACTGTACATATGGTCTACAAACAAAGAGTTATCTATTTATCTAGTTTGCTCTGCCCTGAATAAAGAACTCAATAGACTATTAGTTGGTGACTACATACCCTGGCACACTTGGACTGTTATACATCACGGTGACCCCAGCAAAAGGGTAATCATCACAGGTGAGGACGAAGCAGAAGGTGAATGCAGCCGCTATGACGGTAGCTGCGACACAGAGCTTGATGATACCAGCGCAGGCGAGCCGCCAGCGCTTCACCAGCCACCCGCCGAGGAATGTACCGCCTCCACCAGCGGGAACTGTGATTACACCTGGAATATTGGCCCTTCTAGCAGTTACTCTATGTTTGGACGTGAAGGTGTTATCACTCCGGTCGAGCCTGCCTGTAATTCGAACTCACTTACCCAGCAACAAAGCGGCATCTGAGGCATTCACCGCAAACTGGTTCTCAATCAACTTCGGTAGAAATGCAGCGAATCCAGAAATCAGCATGCCTTCACTAGCTCCAGCTAAGTTCAGAAACAGGAATGTTGGATTCTTCAGTAACGCGGCCGCTGCGTGAGGCAGCTCATGCAAAGCACTAAATGCTGCTGATTTGGACGCAGATTCATGCGCTTCTGACACTTTAGAAGCACGGATCTCTTCAGCACCTGGAGTGATTGAGTTAAAATTATCTTCTTATATATAAAATTCTCGTGTCACAATGTTAGTTACCATACTCCTCCGAAACGGCTGGACCGATTTTTATGCAATTTTGTGTGCACATCGGGTGGGTCTGAGAATCGGCCAACATCTATTTTCCATACCCCTAATTTTTTTTTTTTAATATTTCCTAGAAATATTGTGTATGGCAAAACAACGTTTGCCGGGTCAGCTAGTATTATAATAAAAACTTCACACATCTCACACACGGCCGTCTGATTCCAAACTAGGCAGAGCCTGAGCTATGGCAACCAGCCTGCTGATAAACATACATATATATTCAGTGATAGTTTTTTTTCGTTTTATTTACTTAAGTACTACAGCATTAAAAAAAATATGACAAGGAATGGCTCGTTCTTTCTTTAAGCCAACACATAATATGACTTATCTCCAAAGTAACCACAACGGTAAAAAATTTGACAAGAGCCTGACTGAGTTTCTTGATTCTTTTTCTCAGTCGGTTGCCACTTGAAGGCCTCTATAGAAACACAGAAATGGCGAATCAAAATAATTGCAATTCGAACCAGTAGCTTCTCAGATAAACGCGGTCAACCAAAATACTCTTCGGCTTTATAATGTTAGCTAGATTAGTTAGTATTGACATACCAGGCAATTCATGGGGGAACGCCATCAATGGTATGGCGACAATGAGACACAGCAGCACCGACAGAATGAACCCCACCCACCACGCTCCGATCCACACTGAACTTATAGGAGTTATGCCTAATCTGTAACAAATAACATTAACATTACATTTAAGTAAGTACTTTACAAAAATAATAAAATTACCGAATCTCGTTAAAGTAAAAAGCTTTACAGGTACAAATTGATCAGGTTTAAATTAAATTATAGTTTGAAGAACTAAAAATACGCTTTTGTAGCTAGCTGAACTAAAAAGTAGGAAATAATTTTCTTCTAAAAAAATGTCGATTAGTGAAATATTTCACTAATTGACATATTTTTTTTTTATGTTAGTGGGGTAGTCGAGTAGACGGGTCACCTGATGCAAAGTGACCATCGCCGCCCATAAACGTTTGCAACTCAGGAGTCACAAACGAGTTGCCGGCCTTTTCTTGGAAGTTTGAAGGTCGTATCGGTCCGGGAATACCGCAGACGATAAAAGTAAAGTTATTTTATTATAAAATACATTACATACAAAAAGCACCCCTCGCTTTTTTTTAGGACTTTAGACTAAAAAAGTAACAAGTAAGTTTGTTAAATAACTTCAGCACACACAGTTTTTTTAGGTATGGAAAAAGCCCTTAATCCTGAAGGTCCTGATCAAATTAATGGGAAAAAATATTTAAATTATAGCATTGTCATCCTCTGTAAGTTTTAATTTATTTCGACGTTTTAAAATGGGTCAAAATCACGTTTGGAGATTCATATATACATACATACCAAACTAATAAAAGCGTGTTAAAATCGCTTATTGCGTCCAAAAGGCTCTACACCTTGATTAAGTAGAAAAAAAAATTATATTTCATTTAGTATTTAGAAAAATTAGGTCATTGGTGTGAGAAGGACGTTAAATGGCATTAATGAGAGTTGGGATTATACTGAATGTAGGATACATTACGTGCTAATAACGTACTAATAACGTGCTAGTGCTATCCTATAATATTTAATAAATATATGATTCTTCTGTGAGTGTGTATGTCACTGAACTTCTCTCAAACGACTGGACCGATTTTGATGAAATTTTTTGTGTGTGTTCAAGGGGATCTGGGAATGGTTTAGATTCACAATTTTGTCCGCTGGACAATGTTTTTTTAATTAATTTTTAATTTATTAGTAGTTGTTGATTTTGGAATGTTTTACATTGGATCCGACAGACGGCGCTACCATCGCAGTGTCAAATTTGACAGGACAACGTCTGTCGGGTCCGCTAGTATTTAATAAATTACTATTTGTTAACCGTGAGGTACGTCGGTTTTCGCGGTAATAAGTAGCCTATGTTGCTCGCAGATAATGTTTATTTCCCAGCTCATACGGGCATACACAGTAATGAGGCTGCTGACATAGCCGCTAAATCTGCGGCCTCCGAATCCTCCTCACCAATTTTCACGCACTTCCCGATAAGCTACGTCACAAAAAAGGCCAAAACAGATAGCCATGACATAGCTTGTAACAGATATGCTGACAATATCAAAGGAACTATTATTAAAACTTGGTGCCCATCACTCACACACCTATATAAACTTATCGACATAACAGGACACACATACGCACTCACACAATTACTCACCAACCACGGCTACCACAAACAATACCTACACAGATTTCATATTGCAGACGACAACACCTGCCCCTGCGACAACACAACTACCCAGACATTTAGACGCCTCATTACAGAATGCCCACGATACACTCATACAAGACTCAACCATGAACAACTCTGTCACCACTTTAATTTAGACCCATACAATTTAACATTACTGATCACCAACAACACCACCACCCATAGCTTTATGACTCACATCACTCTTATAGTTAACACACTTAAAGAATTTAATAACACATAACGCACTCAAATACACACTCATATGACCTGATCCACATAACTACAAAACTATGGTGGTTGAACCGTGAGGGGAAACTACAAAAAAAAAACATGTTTATTTTACTTGATGAAAGGATTTTTAAAATCGGTTTAGTAATTAAAGCGTGAAAGCTTAACAATCAAACAAACAAACCCACAACACACTAACAACTACAATATTGGTATTATTTTATTAATATTACACTGCATAGATGAGTCGGCGTGGAGGCATTTTCAGTAGGCAAGATGTGAAGAGGCGAGATTCCTAACTTAAAGCAAGTACAAATTGATAAACAGGCATGTATTAATCATCAACCTGTCTTTTTTTATTAGAGTTCTTCACAATATTTAAAATTGCAAACGATTTTGACTGGTTTCTTTCTTTGTACCACTGTCTGAAAACGACTACACTGAAGGAGAACTGGCCTCCTTCAGTGTAGTCGTTTTCAGATGGGACAAAGACAGAAGATATTATGTTGGACTGTAGAAAAGGCACAGAGTAAAGGATCCCTTTTTTACTCTGTTCGTTTTGGTATCCCTACCACACCACAAGGATCGGATGAGAAATTGAAATGAACCAAGTAAATCGAAGAAAATTATCAGTTGTAAATTATCAGTAGCATACCGTATTTATCGACATATAAACCTACTTAGCCAAGTGAATAATAAAAAGCAAGTCAAAATACAATTAAATTAAATAAATTTAAAAATAAAAAAGCCTTTTATTTCCAGTTTACAAACTAGCACAAGCAATATTGCATCTACCTTTATACATCGTTAACAAGAAAACAAAGAGATTTATATCTATTTAGTCTAAATTTTTCAAGTATATACATATCTAATTATTATGAATATAGAAATCAGTTTTAAGTAGGTAGGCACTAGTATTAAGTATTATTCCACTGGAACCCCCCTCAGGTAAAGGCCTCCTCCAAAGCTTGCCATTTCTCTCGGTCTTGGGCTATTTGTTGCCATTGTGGACCAGCTATTTTTTTAATTACAATTAAACACATGTTAATTTTAGTAAAAAATATACGTATTAAACAGTTTTATTATATGATTGGGGCGACTCAAACAGACAAAGCAACAGAAAGATACTATAGCGCCATCTAACGGATACTACGGAGTTACTCCTGAATACGAATTGCTAATCCTGTATCGCGGTATGAAGAATTCTCTCGCCGATTAGAATATATATACAACATCCCAACATCAACCGTTGGACCGCGGCCCGCCAGGTATGATCACCTCGCCCCCATAGCCTCATCAACGTCTAGGCACAGCACACTGCTCCTATAGTCCACGTAAGAAGAGCACACTCTCCCGTCCACGCAGCAACCGCCCCGACTCAGTAGTGACTTCACCGCACACCATCCCAACTCACTGAGATTAGCGGACTTCAGCCCCGCCTCACTGGGGCTAGCGGCACTAAGTTCCAACTCATTGAAATTAGCGGCACTCAGTTCAGACTTACTGGAACTGGCGGCACTCAGTTCCAACTCACTGGAACTGCTCACTACTGGCACTGGCATGCTCCACAACAGGGCATAGACAGCTGATTCATCAAGATATCGACCTTCTGCGGTCTTGGAAGAGAGTGATATGGCGACTAATACATACAAAGAAATAGAAACACACTACGGCGCCATCTAACGAAGACACACCGAACTACGGAGTAACTCATGAATGAGAATTGCTAATCCTGTATCGCGATATGAAGAATTATCTCGCCGATTAGCATATATACAACTTCCCAACATCAACCGTTGGGCCGCTTACCCATAATCACCTCGCCTGGTCAGAGGATAGCCCCTTTCTGTTAGAAAAACATGACACCCGTTCCTCTACATCATTAAGGAAATTGTAACAATTATAAATCATTAAGAAGTAAAAAGCTTAGTGACACACACACACGTCATGCGTAATTAATTCCTAAACAGATTATAATTAAGCTAGAGCATAAAATCACTATATATAAGTAATTGCTTGGGAAGTTTTCAAGAAAAAATGTGTGAATATGCCATTACAAAAGAAAATAATTTAAATTATGCATTTATTTTGGAGACTTCACGCGTAAATACTACAGTCCTGAACCTAATAATTTTTTCAAAGACTATTTATTATATAATTAAGTAATCGGACTTATAATATCGTGTCAAGGTCAATCATTGTATGTCATCTAGCATAATATGCCTTATAATAACGTAAATAATTGTTCCTTCTCGGATTCGAATCCACCTTACTGTTTTATAGTAAACCAAAACTATTGCGATAAAACAAACTCGATATTTGGGTGGCATAGATAACTTATAACTACTAGTACATACTAAACCGAGCTTGTTTCTTATATCACTATCTTAACGTAGGTTAAGCATAGCTTAAAAATATATATTGACGTGGGATTATTGTACATAAATAAATAGAAAGACCAATAACAGAAGAACGAGAGGACAACAAATCTACGACATTAAACTTCATCACTAAACAGAAGTGTCGTGAAAGTGTCATATCGTGTGTCACGAAAGTAACTTCCTATTGGGTACTTGTTTCAACTAAACTCTCCTTCCTTAAGGTAAAATCTCTTAAAACCGTTCCCAACTACACAAATTAGTTAAATAAATTCAGTCATTATTAGAGTCAGAAGTTTGACTCCAAACTTTCTGCAGCTAATTTTGCCTCATTAGTTGATATTAAAACTTCCTAACATAACAAATGGTAGTTGCCCCGTCTTGCGCATGTATTATCGGATTTAATTAAGAGTACGTCCCTGTACTTCAAGCAATCTGTGTTTTCAAGTGGGCATACTATTGAAATGAATTAGAATAATACTACGGGAAATGCTTTGTTTTGTTTAATTCAATTTGAATAAATTAATTTTAGTTTTGTATGGCTGTATAATGAATTAACATCACAAACTGCTTAAATATATTACATTATACATTCTTATTTCATAATTATACTTTCATTACAAATTAAAAAACAGTAAATATGGTAATACAGAAACCGTAAATACAGTAGAATTATTTGTATCGAATTATACCTGCCAAAGTAGTAGCATATTATTTCTCAAATAATTACATTTAGGAGTTTTTATGAACGATAGGCAACAATGTTCCAATCAGAAACAACTTTTAACTTTTTACAACTTATAAGTATAAAAAAACATTTATAACACAACAAAACTACTCACAAATTTAAATACGTCTATCTCCAATAAATCGTTTGCTAAATTTTATTAAAAAAGTTTTTATAACAAACAGCGCAAGTATTATATTCCCATAAATTAAATCGATGTACACATCTAAGGTTTCTCTGTAGCCATTTTAATCAGAATTCAAGAGTCCTCAAAATTAAAAAGTAAAGCCACGCTAAGGGGTTGTTCAAAACTCATGCCGCGGAAAATCATATTTCGTTTCAGAAGCCATGAAAATATAAAATGGTGGAATTAATTTGGCTGCAAAGTTGCTCTCGTCCGTGGGTCACAATGAGATGAAAGCGAGAGGCTAAGTTGGCTGAATGAAGCCGTGTCGCTGCCTCGTGCCCAGATGAAATATTAAAAAAATGTGAACAAGACACGACGTGGAAAGCGCGGGAAACAAAATGGATCTTATTGTTGACACAAGAACATGAAATAGTCAATGTCGCTGTAGTTTACTATTATGAATAGTTTTTTTTTAGTTTTAATAGAGTTATTGTATGTAAAAGTTTGTGTGTGAAGTAAATAATTCTATTGTACTTACGTTTGGGAGTCGACACTGAGGAAGTCGGTGTAAATGGTCAACATCTGCCCTCCTATGACGTAGCCCATCGCTGGGCCCACGACTGCCATCGTGTAGTAAACTCCTGTAAAAGATAAGTACACAATTTAACCATTGAAAGTAAGTCCCGTTGAAATTTACAGATTTATTATTAATTTCATGTAGTGAAATTAAGCACTTAGTAAAAAAAAGCCTATACAATGGAATGACGTCACAATTTAAATTGTTATTAAACACACACAGGAGTAACTGGTTTAATTTCATAGTAAACTGTGCAATAAATGAAAAAATGCCTAGTACTTCTCTAATGTACGTATACCTATCACCAGTTCAAAATGAATCCATTCCAGTTGCCTGGAAGAAATGGCACTAAGCAATAAGGCCGCCCTTTGTACATTACATCTGTTGTTAATTACTTTATAAAGTCTGTAAAACCCTGGTGTACAAATAAAGTATTTATTACTATTTATCTATCTATCTATCTCTATTGTTTACCTGTAAAGAATGAACTACAAGCAACTCAGAAATAAATAGGCAAGGACTAGATCTCCCTGTCGTAGTCATCATCATCATCATCATCAACAGCCTAAAATAGTCCACTGCTGGACATAGGCCTCTCCTCAGAAAGGAGGTCTGTCGTAGTGGTGTCCTGTAATTTCTGGGGAGGGGAGTACTCTGTTCTCAGTTACGTACCAGTGTCCATGGGTGTCGGTGGTCACTTACCATGAAGTGACCAGTCTGCTAGTTTGCTCACTATGTCATAAAAGAACCAAGCCTTATAGTAAATGCACGAAAAGCTTCAGCTAAAGCCCGACTATCTATACTTGTATAATATAAAAATTTTGAAAGTACTTAGATTAAAAAATAAACAAAATGGAAAACTAAGAATCAACGGCGCAGTTAATTTTCAGTTCGCTACTTTAATTTTACAGTTGATAACATTTAAAAGGACATTTGTAAACTTTCTTTTTTTAACTTGTTTAGTACTTAATAATGTTTGAAATCTCGCCGTACTAGGTAAAAAAGTTAAATTTTTATGAATGCTGCGCCACAGATGCGTTCGTCTGAAGCCATTGCAAATCTTTTTTTGTTCTTCAATAAGTATAATTTACGAACGTATTCGTACGAGTTGCTTATGCCAAACTATTGTATTAGGTAATAACCTGTAAAAAATATATAGGTATAGAAATAAATGACTAAATACTAAACTACAGTTTAGTTTTATTAAAACAGCCAAATTGCTTCTTTTTCTGTAATTTGTTTATGTAATTATTTTAGTAACGTTATAAAAAAATCAGTCCGTGTGGTGACGGATTAAGAATACAAATTGTCACCACCCCAATTCATCCCGTGGGTGTCGTAAGAGCCGACTAAGGGAGCAATCTAAGCAGGACAACAGCACTGCAAAGAGAAGGAAAACTTGAAACAAACCCTTTTTTTTTTTTTTTAACGTGTGGAAATCCCCTCGGACCGTCACCCCTCCGGGGTTTGCGGCGGGGTGGTGTGTCGGACTCGGACCGACTAAAACCACACGGTGTGCCACTCTGCGCCTGTAACAGGAGGGATCCGGGAACAGCTGTTGTTAAGACATCCGGACCCCTCCTAGCGCCAGCCCGCTCCTGGTGCGGGCTCCGTCTCAATATATTTTCCTCTCTTTTAGGCGACGTCCGGCACACGCGGACGCCGCCCCCTCGCGGCTGGCCAAACTAATGCGGGTGGAGGGGAAACCCACCCCGTCCACCCGCGGCCACACTCAGGGCGGCATGAGGCTGTGATAGGCGGGCCTCCGCTGCCCGGTTCGCCGGCGGCGGATCGGGTCCGAGTGGAGGTCGTCCTCCCGGGCCCTCTCCGCCGCCTCCTTCCGCGAGATTACTACCTCGCAGAAGGTTGCGACCGCGGTAAAACAACTGTCGCTACCGGCCATGGAGCGTATTACGGCCGGTAGCGAGAGATCCACTCCGATGACTGCAGTGAGGGCCCGGCGCTGCGCCGCCCATGCGGGGCAGACCGCCAGCGTGTGCTGGGCCGAGTCCTCACTGCAGTCGCAGTGGTGGCAGGCGGGACTCAGTTCCCTCCTAGCGACCGAGTGCAGGTACTTTCCGAAGCAACCGTGCCCGGAAAGCACCTGCGTCAGCCGGAAGGAAAGGGTCCCGTGCTGCCGCCCTGCCCACTCGGCGATGACCGGCTGAAGTGCCTCCACGGCGGCGAAGCCAGCGCGTGGAGTCTCCAGCCGGAACGACCAACGAGCCATCGTGGCTCGGCGATCGGCTTCGCGCCACTCGCGCACATCCTCGGGCGGAGGGCGAAATCCGCTCTCCGCCCGGGAGTCAGCCACTCGCCGATAAACTTCGGCGAGCACTTCCGCCTCCAAATCCCACGGGGGAGTTCCAACCAACGCGCATGCCACCTCCGTCGAAACGGTGCGGTAACCGCGTATGGCTCTGACCGCCATTACCCACTGAGGGCGCCAGAGGCGTACCCTATTCTGGGCGGTCAGAGCCGCCGCCCACACCGGTGCACCGTACAGTGCCATTGACCGGACAACCCCCGTGTACAGCCGTCTTGTCGCGACGCTGGGTCCACCCATATTGGGCAAAAGTCGCCCTAGGGCAGACGCAGCGCAAACAAACCCTATACCAACCCGTCTGGCCAGCGTGGTATAGTAGGCCAAAACCTCCTTTCTAAGGAGAGGCCTATGTCCAGCAGTGGACTAGTATAGGCTGTTGATGATGATGATTGATGATAAAAATATATGGAAAAGGGTAGAAACGAGCAGACGGGTCACCTCATGGCAAGTGACTACTGCCGCCCATTGACACTTGCTTCGAAAGAGACAAGTGCGTGGGCACCCTATAAGTGCTACACTCCCAGAGTTAGGGGGGCAGAAGGTTGGGTTGCGGCCGTCCAGTAAACTCATTTATACAGTAAAAGAATGGCCATAAAACTGGATGTCCATGAAGTCGTTTTATCTTCGCTCATGCTGAAACCTGGCTCTCCGACTGTAGATGAATTTATCTGTAGAATGAATGGTTACTGGAAGAAACTCCTCTTAGTTCCTAGTTTTCTACTTTTTAACGGTTTGTTTTTGTATTTGTGTTGTTTTAGTATTTTGTGAAAATAATCCTTTTTTTTTACATATCCCACACACGGCAGTCTGATCCGGAACTAGGCAGAGCTCGTGCATTTTCCTCCGAGCCTTCTTCCCAACGGCTGAACTTCGATTTTTTACGAGGAGCGTCCTCCGCAACCCAAGTACTAGGCAAATATCGAAGTTCTTTAAAAATACTATTGTCGGACTTTTTAGGGCTCCAATTAACGATTTCCACAGATGTTCGGAACCAATCTTCAACCAGGACCGACGGCTTGACATGCTCTCCGAGGCACGTAGGGATCTCAATGTCTTACGGATGTTCACCCATCCATACACTGACCTACCTATGATAGCTTAACTTAGCAATGTGTTAACCTACTCGGTTACCACTTAGCCTCGAGCTCCTCTTTTGAATATTTATTATATATAAATTACACTCAGCCAGAACAAATGATATTGCTCAACACACAATTATGTTTTATCCTGGTCAAACCCACGACCTCCGACTTAGCAGAAAGGGTATTAAACCACTACAACAACAGGCCCATCGTATTAGTTTAATAACATAGTTTAGACCGATTATAACTACCCACATTAAAAAAATAAAATAAAACCTTTCACACACTCGATCGGTCTCAAACCAAACAAAGCTTTATTCGACTGCCACATTATACGTTCAAACAAGGTGGTGTGCCCGCACTCGAGTGGAAGAGTAAAAGTATATCGCGTTTCTTAGAGACCGACCCTGTTTTCACAGTTAAAAGCTGTGACTTAGAAGTGGTTAGGAATTACTACAGTGCGAGCGTTATTACAGCGTTGTATCGCCTCGACTCAAAGGTAATCTCAAAAATGTATATATGTAGATTTGTTATTTATTTGTAGTTTATAAGTTTTATACTTACGTAACATTAACCACGGGAAAGCCATGTACGGCACAAACGGGTTGGTCCATAATCATCAACAGCCATTAATATTCCACTGCTGGATTTAGGCCTCTCTTCAGAAGGAGGTTTTCGCCTACTAGAAAACGCTGTCCAGACGGGTTGATATAGGGTTTGTGTTAAGTTTTACTCCTCTTTGTAGTGCTGTTTTCCTACATAGTTTGCTCCCTTAGTCGACTCTTACGACACCCACGGGATAAGATTGATTAGTGGTGATGACAATTTGTATTCTTAATCCATTTTGCGGATTTTGTGAATACAAGCTCGGTACAATACAAAGCTCGGTTTCCAATGCGAGCGGAAATACTGTATTCCCACCAACAAAGAGTCGGTCGGAAAGGACTAAGTAAGCAGAAAGAGTTGAAATGAACTCGCTTAGTTCTAGCGAGCGGAGCGAAGTAATTACGGAATTCGTTAAACTCGCAATAACAAATTGCATATGATCGATTTTACACAGTAGGAGGTTCGCTGAGGATCGAACGAGTAAAAAAAGGAATGAACAAAAAAAAATTGTCATAAGCAATTTACAAAAACGAGCTGAAACAAAATTCTACACCTAAGTCAGAATATGTGGCTTGGCCGTTTCGCTACCGTCACATAAGGGCATAAGGTAAAAAATTTGTTTCATTACTTTTCTGTTATACTATAGTTCTTGTGGCTCGTAAGTAACGAGTCCTTTCGGGTAAGTAAGTAGAACAAAACTCTTTGTTGGTTAAAATACAAACCTATTTCATTTAAAGGGAATCCGTCCCGTCTAACCATTTCGAAGTGGACACCAGGCTGACTGATCATACTTTAAGCCACCTTTTACAATAAGACTAAAGCTATTGTGCTATATAGTGTAGCTTTATATGGAGACAAGGCTATCCCTTTCGATATCTATAGTGGCACACATCGCACCATACGGCGGTGGTTGACGGCGCTCTGAATGCGTTTCCTTGTCCTCCGAGACTCCACAGAGAGAGGGAGTCCCGACCACTCAGCATTGTTTACATTTTTATAAGAGATGGAAATATAGATTGATTTTTGAAGTGTTTGATTGTTGTATTCTGTGGAATAATAGTATTGGCAAAAAAAAATATATTTGTACAACATAACGAAAATTTGCGTTTTCCTTATGGTGTTGGGGCTAATAAGACGGGACACCTGATTTTAAATGAAAAGACTCAAAAGACCAAAGTAAGTTGCCGCTATTTGCGCCTCCTTTATTTAGAAAGGACGGGGGGCTCCTCCAATTTCCTCAGTCACTGGGCTAATACCACGAATGGCAATTAAACAACAATTAACGGCGGTTTCCTAAAAAGTAATAAAATTTAACATCATTTTTACTTAATTTTACGAGAATAATTACAGTAATTGATCGTGTGATTGTGTAAACATTTCTTTAGAAATGGGAAATCTCTAAATTCTAACCGAAATATCCCTGTGGAATCAACATCCCATCAACTCCAAGTGCTAAGCAAATAATCAAACAGCAGTCGAATGCTCTAAGTGCAATTAATCGACGGGAGACTACATAAACGCATTATATCGGCACCCCTCATATGTGATTTACTCTTAAATCTACATATATGTGTGTATATGTAAATATTACTACTAATAGATGTTTGTTAGTCAATCATGCTAAAACGGCTGAGCGGATCTGGATGAAAATTGACAGGCTAGAGATCATAATCAATTATGCTTGTCTGGTTATTTTTTTCTTTAACATTTAAAAACAAAACAGGAGCAGAGAGTAGTGCAAATGAAACTCGTCCTTAGGTCTCAGTAATAATTGAGAAAGTATGAAATCTGTGCCACTACGAGACAATGGTATGTGTTCATTATATACTTACTAGCTGACCCGGCAAACGTTGTTGCCATATACATTATTATTTCTAGGAAATATTAAAAAAAAGGGGTATTTTACCCTTGTCATTTAAGGGTTATAAAAAATAGATGTTGGCCGATTCTCAGACTTACCCGATGTGCACACTAAATTTTATAAAAATAGTTCCAGCCGTTTCGGAGGAGTATGTAAAGTAACTAACATTGTGACATGAGAATTTTATTGTATAAGATGTGGATTGGATCTTTTTGTACTTGTACAGTCTCAAATAAACACAAGGTATGTTTGTGTTTTGATAATCATGAACCATATACATATATACAGGTATAACATGTTGGCAACTCTATCCTCGTTTTCTGTGTGAGCTACATTTTTTCACGTATACTTTCGATCTACTATTTCCAGCGATTCCATAAAAATATCTGATACGATTTTTCTGTTTGTACATTCATAAGTATGGTTAGCTAATTGTAGCAATTTACACAAACATTCCGTGTAATTAAACTATGTACTGTTTTGTTATGATCTTTATAATCACACAGACATTTACATAAGACTAGCTAGGTGAGGCAGGCAACCTCCTTCCAGTAGCACAGGCAGTTCTGGGGCGTTCACATCCCCCCTGATACTTCCTCTTTGTGTTGTCACTTCCTCACAGTGCAGGATAACGTCGTTTGCATAGGCCTTGGTGATGTTTAGCTGCCGATGTTGGATTAAATGTATCGTAATGACGCCTATAGATGCCTGAAGGCTAAACAATTCTCGCAAGCTTATCTGTTGCGTCATTCTCGTGTGAATCATCATTTGTTGTGGTGTGTGTTGGCATTAAAAATAAGACCGGAGTTAACTGTGTTGCTCTCCGGTGTTTGTAGTTAAATATGGAGCATTAGGAATAGTTTTGGCTGGATTCTTTTACAGCCGGTCCTCTGATTGACGTGTTCCATTAAAATCAATCAAAATTCTTTATAGCAAAGATTACTATGTTTTAGATAGATTTACACCTTTCGCGCGTCTGATGCTGGCGTAATAATAATTTTTAGTCTCAGTGGTTTTGTAAATTAGTCACAGCTGTGATTTTATGATTTATAAATCATATAAATTATCACAGGTGATAGTGATCCTATTCCATCTCTTTGAAAAAAGGAGGTAAGTTCATGTTAGGAAAAAGGATATTCCATTAGGGTAAAAGAGATAGAGCAAGTCTAGGATCGGAAACAGGCCTGGGATTCTATGCTCCAGTAACTGCACTCACTCGGTGAAAAGCAAGGATAGGACTGCTTAACGCAGATTGCCTGATTGGTGCCCCTTTGTGACAAAGAATGCCTACGGTATATATATGTTTGTTCAAAGTTGATGAAATTTTGCAAAAACATTTACAGGAATACGGAGAAGGGTATAAGGTACCATTTATTTAAAAAAAAAATATTTTAAAAAAGACCCAAATTACTTTAGACCCGACCCAACTACTCCTTCTGAAGAATGGGAAAATTACTATTATGAGTGCGAAACCGAGTATACTAGGATATCATATCATAATATATTTTTTATGACTACGAACCAATTTCAATATTACTATTCTTCATATCGATTCCATTATCACTTACGGACTTTATAAAACGTTCAAATGGTCACATGTGTGTAGGGTCCATATCATTTAGGATATAACGCGGTCACTTTCCGAGTGCTTTCTTATGTTTATTGCGGGGAATGAGTGCCCTGGGGCGGGTTATAACTTTGAATAAACGCGTTTAGCAAAGCTGTTGAACTTATACGAACACTACCTTTTGCTCACGACTTCGTAAGCGCGGTGGTCGACATCAGACAACGTAGAGATACAATGCATTGAGATTATAGGTATATACTTTTGTATAGGTATATACTATAGCACTACGCCTACCGTGCAGTTTTCTGCACGGTAGGCGTAGTGCTTTAACTGTGCTTTAACACTACTACGGTGAGTGTTATGGATTCAATCCCTACATGGGACGACACTTTGTTGTATTCTTTGTGTCCTTCATGTATGTTTGTACAGTCCCCCGCGACACAAATTATTCCTACCAATGCCTTCTTTTTGAGCCTAATTTTGAAAATTAGTAACGACATTTTTCTTTCTTTTTAATAAAAAGTATTTACTGTGAGGTTGAAAACGCTACTACTCATAATAACGAAGTTTCATATGAATTTTTAAACCCATTTGAGATGGAATTAAAAAAAATCCTTTCTTAGTGCATACCCTAAGAAACATTTCTTCAATATTTTATACTTCTAGACCCAGCGTTTGCTGCTGTGCGTTGATCGATCAGTCATTGAATCAATCTGTCAGTTTTTTTTATAAATATAGATTGGTTTAAATGTTATTTTGTCTGTTTTTTTTGCATTAAAATATGTATCATTATATTTGTCAATTTCTACACACAATGAAACAAAAACATATCTCAGTAACATTTAAAGAAAAAGAACAGTTTATAAGTTTAGAAGACTCTTGCAATGTCATAGCTTTATGTATGTTATTTTTCTATCGTTCGGGGAGCAGTTTTTACTGGATGAAAGGTCCCTGACAATATGTGTATGCAAAATTCCATGATGATCGGGTGAGTAGTTACGAGTAGAAAGCATGACAAACTAACTTACTTTTAAATGTATAACATTACTTAAGCAATTACAATGCTTGTACTAGCAACATATCTCATTCTTAAGCTAGAACGAAATACGGTCAGGGGTCATTTAATTTTTCCTCAAATTTATTTGTTTCTATGTAAAAAAAAAATACAGAAAGACTTTTACTACCTAAATCAAAACTGACAGAAGGTTATTAGCTACAATATTGTCATCATCATCAGCATATCGCAGTCCAACGCTAAAAATGGGCTTCTCTCCTTGCACGCCACTTAGATCGATTTTGGGCTTTTCGCACCCAGCTCCTGGCAGCCATTGTACGTAAATCGAAACTCCACTTAGCTTGTGGGAATCCTACACTACAACATTGTACTCTCGAAAAACGTAAACATTATACTCCCTCCCCTCTGCCCACAAAGTAAACCAATCTTTTTAAAACCAGCCTCCCTACTGGGTATTGTTTTACATGAAATCTAATTCACTTACCCAAATAAACAGAGGACATCTTTTTGGAGACGTTTTCATCAATATAAGTGACTCCGAGAGTGAAAAGCGGTGTTGCACCTGCGCCATGTAGTAATTGTGCGAAGACGAATACTGCAACTGCCCACGCGCCTCCTTCAGCTGGTACTGTACCATCACAATGATTGGTTGACTGAAAAAAAAACATTCGAAAATAACATATTTTGACTGAGGTGTAGAGTTTCTAATGTTAAAACTTGTAAGGTCGTGTAAAGTTGCAAGCGATAGTGCGAGCCCTATGGTCTCGCCTTGGCAACATTTTACATGAAAATATTTATTTTGGGATATGTATTTCCAGAATATCTTCGGTGCTAAATTATTTTCATAAGACTTTATGTTTTATATTATTATCTTTCTATCGCAGAAAAGTATATCTATGCCAACCCTAACTTACCGTGCTCTGGTCACCCTACTCCCAAGTAAAAATAAGCCTAAATTAAGTAAATTTAAAGCACTATTTGAATTCCACATTCCGGTCAACTCAATTATGTTTAATGAACAGTTAATAGTGCCACAGATAAAATAATAGTAAATTCTAAAGTTACCCTATTATGTTAGGGAATTGAATGAATACTTGAGTTTCTAACTTTTGATTAGAAAGTTGTCTAATGTTTTAATTAATATACAGACTAGAGGAGCTGTTTAAAACTATCCACCGGGTGAATTTCTCCAGCATTGTATTTACTCTAACTAGTTATTAAATGTTGTATTATTTTAGTGTTAAATTCAAAGTTCGAACCATTTCGACCAATGGCGTTGTAACTGTAATAAATATATAAATCTATAGTCATTTATTATGTGAAACGGAAAATCAATTTATTTTTGGTTGACGGCACTACGGCTAATCTATAAAAATAACACTATAACGTTAGATTTTATTTGATAATTAAGTTATGATCCAATTTTATAACTTAAGTGTTAAGTGTTAAGTCATAAATCGTTGTAAAAAGATGTTTTTTTTACGTCGAGATCGATTTTTTCTGACCCATCATCAGAGGTATCGTTACTCCTGTTGCCTTCCCTCGTTTTTACGAGCGTTTGAATTCAAAGATGACTAAAGATGAAGATATGTAATACCTACCAAGGGCGTTAATTTCCATACAAAAACTTAAAATTTATGAGCAATTAAAATGGTGTGTGTGTGTGTTTTGATAAGTCATCTATTCGTTGGTGCCGGGTCATTAACTGACTCTTTCTTAGACTAAGATTTTTGTTAACTAAGAACCGTACGGTTGCCGAATAAAATTGTTTTGGATGTTTGACAAACATGACGTTACTGATAGATGACAGTTCTGCTGTCTGTCTATTTATTGTGATCTAATCATAAATGTTACTGTATTTTGAGTATTTTGTTCTCATAACAAAATTGGTGTACATTATTTTCTTTTTTTTTAATGAATTTTTGTTATCATTATTAAGATTTTCGACAACATGATAATTATGTCGATAATATATTGGTATTGGTTATTGCATACTTTTGAATTTCCGGACGTTTCGACCAGGTTGTACTGTGATTGAAATATTTTCCGTACAGCTTTACAGAACTATTTAAGTTCTTATTTTGTTTAGGACTACTTTCTTACTTACCTTTCTACTGTTTCTTTGTATGGCAATTGTATCATATTATAGAATATCATTTAAATATTCACATCAGACATCAACAGCCTATAATTTTACAGGCCTGTTGGTCTAGTGGTTAGTGACCCTGACAGCTAAACCGGAGGTCGTGGGTTCGATTCCCACCCAGGACAAATATTGTGTGATGAGCACGGTCATTTGTTCTCTTTTGGGTGTAATTTATCTATAATATGTATGTATTTAGAAATATATAATTATGTTTATCAGCAGTCTGGTTACCATAGTACAGGTTCTGCCTAGTTTGGAATCAGATGGTCGTGTGTGAGTTAAAAAAATAATAATAATAATAGTCCACTTCTGGACATAGGCCTCTCCTTAGAAAGATGGTTTTGGCCTACTCTACCACGCTGGCCAGACGGGTTGGTATAGGGTTTGTTTCAAGTTTTCCTTCTCTTTGCATTACCTGTTTTCCTGGGATGAATAGGGGTGGTGACATTCCGTATTCTATATCCGTCACTATAGATTATCTTTGTATGGCTATAGAATATCAAAGCAGAAATATTAAAAAATGACAAATTTTAAGCATGATATTTATTCTTACCGTTCTGTTAGGTGTACATATATCGTCAACTGCGTCCCCCGCAATCTTGTAGTTAGGCACGAGAAAATGTGGTAACGCGAAGAGCAGAGACCCTGTGCCCATGAGGAGAACTCCCCAGCCGAGCCACCGAGGTTTTGAGGAGCTGGTGCGACCGCCTAAATAGGTCACCGGTGCCAGACAAACGAAGGAGGCGATATCATACCTACGAAAAAAATCTGTATTAAACACTATAATATTAAACCTTTTTAGTTTTCTGTAGTCCCAATAACAATCCCAATAGATTTGAGCAGACCTGTTAATACAAGAAAGCTTTAAAGTGCTAATTTATTTTTATAGCATACCAGCGATCCGCCCCGGCTTCGCACGCGTGCAATGTAGATATACTACTAATGTGGTGTCAGTGTGGGGTTAATAATTATTCTATTATTATGATAGGACCATACTACAGGACATCTATAAATGCATTTTTTATGGCGCGATCCGATTCTGCCGACCGCTACCATTCGAGACGGACGTACTGCTTGACTGTCGTTGGGCCCCCGCATTTTAAATCTCTGATATCTTCTAAAATATTCATTTTAATTACATGCTGTAAATAGCAATTTTATTCTACATTAAATGCACAATGTATTTAATTGGATAAGGAATTAATAATATAATGTATTGTTTAAAATAGCTTCGTAAATAACCTATTTATTTTTTGTAGATCTTTTTAAGATGTACAATTCTGTAGTACATTATTCTGGTCTATCTCGTAAGGTTTATCCAGCGTTTTTTGCGCCAAATCTTTGAAATTCTCGGATTTTCTCTTCTATAATATGCATGTGTTATACGTATAAACCTTCTTATTGAATCACTGTCTCGATTGGAAAAAAATGCATTAAATTCTATTGGTAAAATTTCATCGGAACTATCTATCGATAGGATTTTAATTCGATCGAAACTAATTTTTGAAGTCATTGTTGGGGGTTTGATTGGACGATTACTAGTACATCCCACGTTTTACTTATTCGTTTAGCTGTGTAAAGCCCATCACAAAACGGAGTATACAGTACAAAAATGTACTGTAAAAAAAACCTAAGTTGGAATTTTAATGAATCGATTCTCATTTCATTTACGTTACATAAGTACATTGCAAATTATATAGCATTACTATTAGTTCTGATAACATAATAAATGACGAAGGCAATTATATTTATTAATTGATAATGTCAATGAGTTCTTGGTAATTAGGATAGTATAGTCCGATGCAAACTTAATGGCGGCTCTGAAGTTAGCTGCAAACACAGGTCTGCGCAGGTACGTACAGTCAATTCGACTCGACTGTACGTAGAAAGAAATATGCGCGCATATGCACTGTACTCCTTTACGTCGCCATGCTGTCTATTATTGTGTTCTGCGCATCGAAACGCACGATGTTCCGAGCCGCCATTCAGTTTGACAATACCTAAATGTTGTTATCAGCGTAAATAACTGGCCTGTTGGTCTAGTCAAGTTTAACTATCCTGGCTGCTATGCCCTAGATCCGGGGTTCGATAACCACCTAGAACAAATATTGTGTGACGAGCAAAATCATTTGTTTTGTCTGGGTATAATTTATCCATAACTAGCTGTACCCTGCGACGTATCGCTGTGGCACATTTTGGTTACTTTCTGAGAAATGAAGAACAAAACTGACGCGAAAAAATTGTTGAAACGATCTCTGAAGGGGCTTGTACATGGTGTCGAAATTTGAGGTCAATCGGTGCAGAATTTTAAGTTCTTGAAGCGTACACAGACTAACTAAATATTTTGTATGTATAGATATGTTTGTGTTTAGAAATATATAAGTATGTTAATTTAGAAATATATGCGCCCGGTTGACGAAAATATTACGTTACTAACTATTAGGTTAGTGGGACTAAAAATTATAGGCAGGAAATTGTTAAAAAAGATACGGCGTTTATGCCAATCACAATTTATAGGGTACTTTCCGTTCTCTCGCTCGATAAATTGATTGCGGCTATCGTGCGGCTATTCTGCGAGCAAGTTATGCTTGCGAAGGAGATGGCGGAGCGGGACCGGGAGAGGTTTAGAACTCTCCCGGCCTGCCAGGCCCGGGAACGGGCTAGGTACCGCAGGCGACTCAGGCGCCGGAAGTCGCATAACGACCTCCGTCCTCCATAAGTAAGTGGTATTCGAGGGGATTTCCACACAGAAAAAAAAAAGTTACTTTCCGTTGATCTAGAACTATGTTTGGCAAGTAACATTCTCTTATACTACCAGTAAGGGGAAAAATCTGAAACTTTTCATTTGTAATTAAATCATAGAAATAGTAGCCTTTATTCGAAGTACGTAATCAATCATCAAGGTAAAATTTCACTTATAAAACACAATAATAAAAGTAATTATAAGTTTTAGAAACTGAATTTCGGCAATATTATTTGTTAACCTCAGAAATCTTATTACTTCAAACACAAGTGCGTTAAACGATTCTGAACTATTTATAATATGTACCTACAAATTAGTACGGAATGTTCCGATGGCGAGTCCGCTTCGCAATTGTCTAGGTTTTTTTCGCACATCTTTACACACGGCCGACTGATCCCAAACTAGCCACAGAGCCTGTACTATGGTAACCAGACTGGGACTAATCCCGCCCACACGAGCACCACTGTAACTCCTGTACACCAGGATCCCCAGCAGTGACCCACGAACACACCGAGTTATGACACTCGGGAAGTCCCAGGAAGAAATTAAACTGTCTTGGAACCCGCAACGAAATTAATCAGAAGAAAATTGGAGGAGTTGGAAATACAGTAAATCCACTTCCCTCCTTAGCAAAGCGGGAGACAAAATGAAGTAAAATGGGCATACACCCTTTTAAACAGGGAAGCACCACGGCCACGAAATATTACGGGTCCTACGTGAGCTATATTTGATTTCTATAATATGTATGGCAGAATCGCCTAAACGCACGGAAATTCACCCTAGTTGACCAGACTGCTGATAAACATACTTAGATATTTCTAAATACAGAGCAAGTGATCGTGCTCATCACACAATCATTTGTTTTTAGGATGGAATCGAACCCAGGAGCACCCAAAGACCAGTAAAACATTTGTTAACGACTCTTGAGCTGCAGATGTCCATGGGCGGCGGTAGTTACTTGCCATCAGGTGACCCGTCTGCTGGTTTGTCGCCTGTACCACTCACATCATTATCACATCAACAGCTTTTAATATTCCACTGCTGGACATAGGCTTTTCCTTGGACGGGTTGGTATAGGGTTTGTTTCAATTTGCGCCTTTCACCGCCTCATGCCGCCCTGAGTGAGTGTGGCCGCGGGTGGACGAGGTGGGTTTCCCCTCCACCCGCATTAGTTTGGCCAGCCGCGTGTGCCGGACGTCGCCTAAAGAGATTAAAATATTGAGACGGAGCCCGCACGGGGTCCGGATGTCTTAACAACAGCTGTTCCCGGATCCCTCCTGTTACAGGCGCAGAGTGGCACACCGTATGGTTTTAGTCGGTCCGAGTCCGACACACCACCCCGCCGCAAACCCCGGTGGGGTGACGGTCCGAGGGGATTTCCACACGTTAAAAAAAAAAAAGGGTTTGTTTCAATTTTCCTTTTTTTTGCAGTGCTGTTGTCCTGCGTAGTTTGCTCCCTCAGTCGACTCTTGCGTCACCCACGGGATGAATAGGGGTGGTGACATTCCGTATTCTTAATCCGTCACTACCCGGACCTCTTAATCCTTCACCACACGGACCTCTTAATCCGTCACCACTCAGACCTCTTCATCCATTACCAAATGGACCCCTATACCATTAAAAGAAAAGAAAATTCTTTCTACACTTGTCGTACTAATTTAAATAGTTAATCGTTAATTTATGACTGGGCTGATTTAAATTACATTATTGATTGTATAAAATTCAAGCTAATTTGTATTTAATAACGTAGTTACGAAAATCACTTTTCATTTAATTATCTCTAATGAGTGCATCTTCTGTACGTAAATATTTATGTCTATACCAATATTACAACGCTCATGATTTCGTTTGTTTGGTTGAACGCGCTAATCTCAGAAACTACTGGTTTGAATCGAAAAAATCTTTTAATATTCTATAGGCCACTTATCGAGGAAAGCTACACGCTATATAACATCACGCTACGGGCAGTAGGAGCTGAATATTTAAGAAAAATGTCGCATAAACCGAAAAGAAATATTCCTTTAGAGAGTCGCAGACTAATTTATAAATAACTTGATATGCTCTGCTTTTATCCTTGTGTCGAATCTAGCTATAAATAAAGAAATAACCCAGAACAGGTAGTCTTACCCTCCAGCAATGACTCCCGTCTGCATGGACCTGAGGCCGAACCTCTTCTCAATGGTAGTGATCACCACGTTCACGAAGCCGTTGACAACCATACCTGATGACAAACAAAATTAAAACTATATTATGTGTTTTAACGAACTATAAAAAAAAGCCAGAGATTCTTAATTCGCTTTTATTTGACGACTGGATGGCGTAGTGGTTTGTGTAACGGACTGCTATTCCAAAGGTCGCGGGTTCGATTCCTGCTCAAGTCAAACATTTGTGTGCATGAACATTTGATGTTTGATTTGGTCTGGGTGTTTCTATGTATAATATGTATGTATTTACAAAAAAAAAGTATATATGTATTTATATCAGTTGTCTAGTACCCATAGTACAAGCTCTGCTTAGTTTGGGACTAGGTGGCGTTGTGTGTATGTGGTAGAATATATCATATATTATTATATATTATATTATATTTGTTACTTCAAACTATTAGAAGGGTTTGTGTATTTGGTATTATTTAGAAGGGTATAATTCCCGTTTGGTCCTATTCAAATGTGAAGAAAAAATACGGGTGGTATTTTCTAAGGGTGGAAAATTAAGGTACGGAGAACACCGTTTTTATATTAATACTCTCATAGTTTATTACATATATACATATAATGACGCAAACTACGCGAGACGAAAGCACTGCAAAGAGAAGGAAACCTTGACACAAACCCTATACCAATCCGTTTGACCGGCGTGGTATAGTAGGCCAAAACCTCTTTTCTAGGGACCTCTCCCTAGAAAAGAGGTTTTGCCCTATGTCCAGAAGTGGACTATTAGAGGCTGTTTATAATGATGATGTAGGCGCATTAACGTCGGTGATTCTTTTTTTTAAATTTAATTATGCAATAGTTCAAAAAAATAAACTCTGAATCTTTCCAATAAATAAAATTTAAGTGTCGGTTTGTAATAGGTTTTTTTTCATTCTCACGCGGTTATTTGCACGATACCTATGGCTAAAAACCAGTTTTTTTTTTGTCTGTCTGTCTGTTTGTTCCCGGTTATCTTTTAAACGACTGGACCGATTTTGATAATATTTTACTACCAGGTATATAAGGAGTAACTTAGGCTCATAAAAACCTTATAAAATTTTGCCCGGTCCGGGAATCGAACCCACCAAGGCAGCGCTTTTCAAATTCTACGCGAAGTCGCGGGTACCACTAGTATTTAAGTATATTCGTATATTAGAATTTCTCAAACTAAACCGGCCTGTTAGTCTAATGGTGAGTCATTCTGACTGCTGATCTAGTCGTGGGTTTGATTCCCACCCGGGACAAATAATTTTATAATCAGCACTATTATCTGTATCAGGATGTATTTCATTTACAAATCTTTGTATTTAGTAATACACAAGTAAGCTTATTCGTTAAAATGGATTAACTTAAAGCTAACATGCATGCAAATACGCTGATATATTCAAGTCATGGTAAAAGTATAAACTTTAGTATATATTTATAAATGCACGGATGATGCAGTGGTTTAAGCGGTCGCCACGCCGCTTCCTACTGCGCCGAGTGTTGTGGGTTCAAACCCCACATGGGACGAAACTTTGTGTGACCCATACATTGTTGTTCTGAGTCTGGGTGTTCTTTGTGTCGGTTTCATGTATGTTTGTAAAGTCCCCCGCGACACAGGATTCATTCCTAATGCGGGAGTTGTCTTTTTAAATGAAAAATAAATACATAAGAATGTTTATCAGTAGTCGGGTTACCATAGCACAGGCTTCGTCCAGTTTGAGATCAAATGGCCGTGAGTGAGATATCATCATCATCATCATCATCATCAGCCTATCGCAGTCCACTGCTGGACATAGGCCAAGACATTACTCTTATTAATTTTTTACCTGCAATCAGCATCAATTTACCCTAAATTTAAACAGTACCTTTCGCTTTAAAAAAACTGTAGTAAATATTCAATGGCACTGTCTGGTGTGGCCAAAATTGTCTGCATTTCAAATCAAATATGTACATAACGCAATGAAATCAATTTCCAATGAGTTAGGCCGTTTGTCAAAAATAGTTCAGTCAGAAATAACTGTTCGCTCCTTTATTAAAGTTTTACGTTCCGGCGCCCGCCGGTCCGGTCCGATTGTGTCCAGAGCCGGACGCTAAATGATGGACGCTGTCGTGTTGTCGGGAATATATGTACCTATATACTCGTATAATACTCTGTGCAGCGGCCTTACTCTTGAATTCGATTCCGATTTCAATCCAATAGTAATCCAATTCCAATTTCAATTTCAATGTCACTATAATCGGTACTCTTGAAAACAATATTGTCAAATTGGATTGAAATTGGTATCGGCCGGCGATTGCGTTGCCATGACGACGGTGACGCTTGAAGTTAGCTATGTAACCGCCGCATTAGAGCTGTTCAACACATTACGATAAAACAGGAGTAAAGCTTTGAAATGGTCAATCGTGTCCAAAACAAGACTAATAAATAAATACTACAAAAACGATTGATCAGCTGATTATTTGCAACGTTATTAATTAATTTTTCTGCAAGCAAATAATTTTAATCTTAAAATAACCTACACTATTGGCTGTATGTGATTATACCATTGCCTACTATGAAAGCAAAGATTGCTGAAGCATTGCTGTCAGTTAGCGATGCCCGTAAAGAAATGCCAGACCCTTGATTTTATTTTTATATTGTTATTGTATACTAATATTATTAGATATTATTTTACTAATGACGTAAATATACCTATATAGGAATTTTATTATCCTCATTTAACTGTGTATTCATTGCAAATAAGTGTAATTGGAAATGCAGAGTGCATGTCTAATAGCTATTTACTTTTTCTTCATTAATATTTTTTATTTCCATGCAATAAACAAAGTGGCTAACTCAAATGCCGAGAATCTCTTAACACTTAAAACACAACTTTAATAGTTAAACCTCGGTTTTACGAAGCAACTGATACTTTTTTTGAGTTTTACTCATTCCTATGGAATTTGCTCAAGTTGGCTCATTGCAACAAATAACAATAACCTCTAAAAATACAATTTATGAAAGATTGATATAGCAGTATTGTGAAATTTTGTTGTAATACTTTTTAAAATTGTAATGTCACTATACTTAAAATAAAATATACCATTATAGGCCAAGACATTTATATTGACATATATTAAATTAATACATAAAATCTTGTTAGAAATAGCAATATAAATGCAGTATAAAATTATAAAAGAACATCATATAAAATTTGCCTTAAAAACTAAAATATTAACACAAGTAGTTAGAATTAAAAAATGTTAATCATTACATAGTTTTACAAAATAAGCATGCATAATAGTTGACTTTATTCATAATAATATTAACCTAGTAAAAAAACATCTTCATTATTACTATTTAAATAAATTAAATGTTGTTTCACAGAACTTTGATTCCAAACAAAACTATCATGAGATGCTCCTCCAATGGATGCATCAACTGACAGTATTTTTAAATCTGCATCACATATCTGTAAATATAAATAAAAAGATAGAACTAAATTATACTCGAAATTGTTATTTAGTTGATAAAAATTTCATCAAAATAAGTGTTTACAATCATAACATTTCTAGATTGGAATATTTGCGAATAAAGTGCCATATGTGCCTTCAACCAGCCTTTGGTAACTTCCAGTCGCAAAAAAACGCGCACTATGCTGCTAGAATCTACAATTTGGATGAAAATATTAAGTTAATCTTCTCACAAAAAAATAAGTATGCACACCTTACAAGTTGTAATGTTAACATACCTTATATTTCGGTGATATATCACTTCTTCTCTTAGAAGTTGGCATAAAAGGCTTTATATTTTCAAAAATTTCCTCAAATAAATATTTGCTTACTCGGTAATTAGCTTTAAATTCTTCCTCACTCATAGAGACCGCCTTCTCCCTATATCGCATCATTCGACGCTCATTTCGTCTCATTTTTAACACATTTTTTTTAAGTTTTAAGTAAAACAATGTACATTACTACTAAACGAGCCATATTATCCACTTATAGTTCAGTTAAAACCACATGAAACGTGAAACAATTTCAAAAAAGTTACACTTCGGCAATTGAGTAAATCCCAATCTCCAAACGATACGAACTCAATTTATCGCTGTCAAACAAGCTGTCAAAAAATTCAAGAGTACCGTTTGCGTGTGGCGATTGGTAATTTCGATTTCAGTTAGTTCTCCAAATCGTCACCCAATTTGATTTCAATTTGGCGCTAGTGTCGAATTCAAGAGTACGAAACTTCACAATTCCAATGTCGATCGATCGGAATCGAATTCAAGAGTAAGGCCCCAGGACTATTAAGATGGTTTAGAAATTAATTGTGTTCCATTTCGTTTGTTTCTTTTTCATACATGGGCTGGTTGGACAGGAGTGATAAAAAAAAAAGCTTGACCTACTTTTAGTTTTTCCATTAAAAAAATCTCTGTTTTTAAGGGTTCCGTACCTCTAAAGGTAAAAAAGGAACCCTAGCAAGTTGAAGTTTATACCACATACTAAGGGCAAATTTGTAAGTACCAAAATTTACCTTAATTTTCAACTTTTTGCCAAATTTCGTGATTCTAGGCCAACGGAAACTACCATATAGGTTTTGGGTCTACGTAAAATGTACGTATAATCTGGGTAGGTACGGCACCCTCGGCGCACGAGTTCGACTCGTACCTGACCGTTTTTTTTTTCAATAAATCGGTTTTCGCATCTTTTTGATATTTTTTTTCAATAACTTGCCACGAACCGATTTTTTCCAAAATATTTTTTTAAGCTTATACTTTTACCGGAATTATCACGTTGAAAAACCAGCCAGCTTATTTTTTCGATCTGAACATTCTCAGCCTGAACTAATAGAAGGATATTCTAATTTATCTCGTTATATCTCTTCTGTTTCATCGATTGACCATAGACAGTTCAGTGTTTGTAATAATAAAAATTCCGAAAGAGATTTTCTCTAAATATAGATGTTATCATAACTTCCTGTAATCTATAGCCGTAATATACACGTGTACCCTAAGCGTTATTGGCATGAAGGCCGTCGATGTGATTGCCAGCAATTTTAACTTTTCCAATTA